TCTTATACTTCTTTTCCAAAGCTTCAATGGATCTTCACTAAAGTTTTCTTGCAAAATCTTATAAAGCCAATATTTTCATTGATTGTTTTGATGTTATGTGATATTCTTTCGGGTTGAAAGTTTTTATCACAAATATGCTCATGTTTTTGTAATAAAGGAATGTCAACTGATTTTTTATCAATTGTAAGTGTAACATGATTATTAGAGATAAAAAATGGAACATAAGTACGGATAGAATTATGTTCTAGTAATATATCTCTATGCATGTTAGGAAAATATAATATTTTCAGTGTTATGAATTTAACATTATTAAAATAAACAGGAATATTTTTTGCTTTAAAACCAACAATAGTTTCCTTACCATCGATACCTACTATGATGATATGATGCTTCATTGGTTGCCATTTGTTTGTTGGCAAAGCATTATTATGACAACTTGAGATTGTTGCTCTAGTGTCAAGTAATATAAGTAGACTATATGGTTTATAGTCTTGAAATCAAAAATCACCTTTCACAAAAGTATAATACTTGTCTTTGTTAGAGAATAATATTGTTTCTAGTGCAGATAAACAAAAATTATTTATAAAATGTTGCATTTTTATTTCTTCTTGTCTAAGAGTTCTAGATGAAAAAAGTCATGAATTTAAAATAGAATTAACAGAATGATAATAATATTGATTATCACCTGTAGCTTGTTGAAATGGATTATCTTCTGTAAAAATAAGAATTTGAGCATTACCTGTATGGCTTATACTGTTTGCTCTTTGAAAATTTCCATCATCTTTTTTTATGTTCAAAAATATTTGTTGGCGGTAAAACCAAGTTTGGATTAAAACTGGCTGAGGCATAAGGATTTTTGAAGTAAAAATTTTTTTCTGATGAGAAAAATTCTAAACTTGGTACCTTCTATTTTTCAAAGGTATTATTTGATATATCTTTAAGACACCATCCTTGTGGGACAGATAAATCTTCGAGTTTGATTAATTTTGGTTTGATTTTATAATCAAAACTATTTGGTTCAAAAAGTTCAGTAATATTAGAATCTATCGGTTTGATAGAGGTATTTGTAGTATTTGTAAATTCATAGATTGCATACCAGTTGATTGAAAGATCATGCGATTTTTTTTCAATATCAAAATTTGTTATTTTGACACAAAGACATAAATATTTTTCAATGTTTTCATCAAAGATAAAAATAAAATAGTTTGATTTAACTTTAAATAAAACAACACCAGCTGCTAAATTGGATTGGATTCCTCCAATTATAGCATTAGTAGGATTTTGAAAACGATTATCCATTAAGACAGCTATAATAGGAATATCTTTGGTAGATAAAAATAACAATTTAATGGTAATTAAAATCATACCAATATGAATATATTTAACTTTAGGATATTTTTTCAAAAAATGGTTTATTTTCTGTTTCGTAAAAAAAGGTATTTCTACTAATCCTTATTTAGAATCATTAGCAATAGTATCACTGGATAGTTTTTCTATATGGCATTTATACCAAGGTTGAAATTTTTTAAACCAACTTGTTTTGTAAATCTCATCTGGTTGGATGAGTTGGAGTTCTTTGAGTTTATCTTCATAAATATGATGAGTTTTTTGCATCACATTTTTTAGTTTAACCAGACCTTATCCTGTTGTAGTTGTTGTACCTGTAGAAGAAGTAACTGAAACATTATCTTGGTTAGATTCAGTATTCATCATAAAAATATAATCAGATTCATCATCAGAAGAACTATAATCAGTTTCAGAAAGAACTTCATAATATATTTCTTCATCTGATAATTCATCTGCAAAAGAAATTTGAAGATATTTTTCTTCAAGTTGTTTAATCATTTTTCAAGCACTTTTCCCTTTGTTAGGGTAGCTATCTGCATAATGACCTTTTTGATCACAAATAAAACATTTACAAGTTTGTTTAGAAGATTTTTTCTTCTTTTTAACAACAAATTTACCTTTTTTAGGCTTGGTAGATTTACCAGTTTTTTTTTGTTTCCATTTTTTCCAAAATATATTTGCGTTTTTTCTTAAAATGATTTTTTCTTTGAATAGTTTGATTGTTACAACCAAATTTTAGATCATTTTTTAAAATCTTTGTAACTAAGTTTAGATTTTTACCTGTTTGATAGCTTTCTGCTTGAGACAATGCTTGGTAATTTGACTTTGTACGTAGTGTATTCTACATCCAAGAGTATCGTAGAGTTCTATGCTGGGATTTACAGCATTAGTGATTTTGATTTAAGTTCTAAATAAGTATTATAGTTTTGATAACAAAGTTTCTCTCATGGTAGGGGAAGTTTTAAGAAAAATTATTGTAACCAAAATTTTGAATGTTCTTCATCTAATTTTTGATATTCAGAAATATATCTTTTAGAGAAATCGTCAAGATTTCGAATATCACATAATTTTAGTTTTGAAAGAAAATATTGAGCTTCTTGATTGGGATCCAAAGATTCGATACTCCCATAAAATTCATTTTTAAAATCTGGGTTAGATCTTTTAATAATTGAGGTATGTTACCTGCTGCGAGAAGTGTGCTTTTCTGAGTGTTTCCCAAAGTGGTTTTTTCTCATTTTTTGAGAAATTGTAAGACATCACCTTGCCAAGTGCCATAAAAATAGTTGAGGAATCTTTTTTTATTCCATTGCTCTTTATAACTTGTGACAACAATATACATAGATTGTGCCTAATTATCAATGGTTTTTTCATATTCTTTGATAGGAACATGAGTTAGATCTAAATATGTGCCACTTTGTGAAACCGTTCGTTTGTTTAACGAATTGATTATAGGGACTTCTAGTTTAATCTGACTGGTTTGGCTAGATTCTGTAGTTTGTTTTATCTCATTTTTTTTAGGTGAGGTTTATGTTGAGCTAATTCTTCAGGAGAATGTAAATAATCAAGAAAACGAACAAAATCATTCATATCTGGGTTAGATATTTTTGATGTTTTTTTTTTCTCTATCCTCTTTATTGAGGAATAGGGATTTGAGGTTCTGGATCTGGTTGATCTTCAGAACTAAAAGAATCATCTGATGAAACTTGTTCATCATTTACTATTGGGTTAATAGCAAGAATTTTAAAATTATCATCTACAATATCATCATCTGCTTCAAAACTACTAACACTGGTTGTGTCATAATTTAGCATATAATGATAATTGTATTTTTGAAAGTCTTTTATGTTCTTCGAAAAAGGTTTCAATAGCATGAAGATAATTAACCCGTTGTTTCGAATCGTCAGATTTTTCCATTTTATACTTGAAATTCTCAATTAAATATTTATAAGAGTCAAAATCAAGTTTTTCTTGTTTTGCCTTTGCTGAGGAAGATGAAGGATTGTCATTAGCCATCATAATATTACCATAATAAAGAGGTCCAAAGTCTGTAGATGTGTCTAGAGGAACATGCCTTTGGTCCATCTTTTTTGTAAGTAAATCTATTTTATCTTCTATATTATCCATTTTAACAAATAATTTAGTAAAGAAAGAAGAAGAAAGGTCAAACAAACCATTTACAACTATACTAATAGATATATTATTAGATTCAGACTTAGGATCTATATTTAAACTATGATTATAAACTTGATCTTCACAAATACAATTATTTTCTGAAGTTAATTTCATGTTTTTTGTGCTTAAAATCGATGTACTTCTGTATAGGTTACTCAAAGTCAGTCAACAAAAGGCATACAAAGCCCAACAAATACTAACAAATAATCACAGATTCACGATATGAGCTTTAAAATAAGGAATAAACAACAAAAAATAAGAATAGATATAAAGACTTTGTTTATAAAGATAGGATTATAATAGATCTATAAGTTGAATATTACAAACCTTTTTGATGTAAAATTATAGGCTTTAAAATGAAAGCTTGCACCAACATATAAAAATATTATTTATTTTAATAAAATATATTAAGATTTTATAAAAAAAAAAAATCTCATTAGTTAAAGTTTAAATTTTTTCATATATAATGGTTCTCAAACCTTTAATCTAATTGTTAAAAATATCTAAGGAGATATTAAAAACTTGATTTCAAGTCAAGTCTCTCTCTTCCTCTATACTAAGGCTTTGCCCTTTTAATGTAACAAAAAAAAAAATTTTTCGTATATAGTGACAGATTCTCACACATTTCCGACATGAAATTTGGAGCTATTACAAAACTTTTCCCGCTATTGCAATCTCAGGCATCATTCAACTTTACATATCAAGCTCAATACGATTGGAACAATGGAGAAACCCAATAAGTCAAATTCACTACAGTTGAAGTCACTGTTTTGAACCTATATCCATGGTAGACATGTTTAGGCCTGGGCCCAATTGAAGCACTAAACTCTGGCTTAGGTCAAGTAGGCCCGAAAAAGACCTCGAATTCTAATCTTTAATTAGATTTGGACTCAGTTTTCATAGTAAGGTGTTTTTTTCGGGGGGATGCGTTTTGTGCTAGAGCTGCCGTATTAATTTATTTAAAACTTGTATTAAACGTAATTAAAAAGAACTGAATACTATATATGTTGATTTTTTAGATGATTACTTGTTGAGTTTTTTTTTTTTTTTAAACTCCAATCTCAATAAGACATGAAAACACCCTCTTGATCTTTTTAATTAGTAATATTATTATTAATTAAATTAATTAATGGACATTATGCATGCTAGCTGCTTGGATGCATGGACCCGATGGTCGCCGGTTCGCGTCGCATGTAGAATGCCGCAAGGCACGCTGTTGCTTAAATTATTGAAAGCAGCCCCATCATGCTAAAGCCCACCATGACCACAAGCTTTTTATTACTAGTAAATACTAGTAAATATTAGTGAAAATTTAAGAATTTTCACTGTAAAAAAAAAAAAGAGAAATTATTTGATCTTTAATAAAAGATTAAATACTTTTTTCGTTTAATAAATGAAAATAAAATTTTCATTCTTAAATTAATTTATTGGTCCAATAACGTTAAATTAATTTAAAACTACCAAAAATTGTTATCCGAATTCGCGGAAGTTGATGTTGATCTACAAAGTGAAAGTCAAAAAGAGCGATCATTTTCGAGATGGTCAAATTTCGCCTCCTCAAACAAGGATTAGCCTTTATATATAGCAGCAGATAACAAAGGATTTGCTCCTACGCGTTTCCTGAGAGCTTTGCTGCCTTATGCTTTTGCCTAAAACCTCGTTCAAAACAAACAGTAAAATCCCAACCTTTGTCGTCTAACAATAGTCTTTTCATCCTCCTTCTCTTGTTTTGCTATTGCCATGGCCAGCGGATCAGCAAAATACTATGTGGTCGTTTCAGGCAATAATATTTCTGTCCCTTTCACTCAACATTTCGACCTCGACGATGCTATAACGATGCCGGAGAACCTTCAAGCCAGGCATCAAACAGTCACCCGTTTGGTTTCGGACATGCCGATGGTCAATTATGCAACCGGTAGCTGCTCAATTTGCATGGAGAGTTTCTGGCAATCCGACGGAGCTGCTGCTTCTAGGCAAGTTTCATGCGGCCATGTCTATCACCATAACTGTATTACCGATTGGCTCTTGAACGGCAACAGCAATTCTTGCCCCCTTTGCCGCCATGAAATCTCCGGCTGATGATACCTACAGACTTGTCTAGCTAGCTATAGCTTCTCAATTTGGAGCGTGTAATACGTTCACTCGAGATTTTGTTTTTATTTTTATTTAAATTCCGTAGTTGGCGAAATATATATAAAAATATTAAATATTTCAAGATTTATTCCTTTCATTTTGTATAAATTATGGTATCAAGTTATATATTTATAATTACTTCTTGGTCTAACTAATCTTTGTGTATGCTGATACCCATGCATTGTCAGATACCTGTGATTGATGACCATATGTTTTAGCAATAATTAATCACATTTAAAAATGGGTGTGGAATTCTAATATACTTAATTGTATATATAATCGTATTAAAATCTATTAATGCTTTGTTAAGTGATAAAATGATGTGACTATCATCCAAACGAAACATAGCTCACATAAATTTGCACCACCTGGCCAGTTGCATTATCGATGGCTTAATTTTCTTGAATTGATGGGTTTTTTTTTTTTTTTTTTTTCCCACAAAAGTGAAAACGAAATTGTGAGGAAAAGTCACGTTGGATTAAATTTCCAGTGGCCAGTGGGCGAGCAAACAGGCAATTGGCTGGCGAGGATGTCAAAGGAAGAAAAAGTAGCGTAACTGTGACAAGTTGACAATGTTTCTTGAACGTGATGGCTATGAATTTTTAATAGGAAGGAGGTTAGTTCCTTCTTAATTACAAACTTGAGTGTCAGTTTCAACATTTTCAATAATAAAAAAAAAAATTACTACGTCAACTTCAATAATATTGCATATATAGAATTAATTTGATAAACAAATTTGACTTTATTATTTTCTTTTAATTATAGTTTTCGGCCTTTTAGTTTTCTATTTGCAAAATTAGCTTTCACGTTATACGTACGAATCAATCGTTCATTTGCTAAGTTTGACAATTATTTTGGAACAGTTGGAAGTATGCTCCCCAAATTGAATACTAAGTGCAACAAGAAAGAGGAAAACCAAATAATATCTTGAAAAATAAAGAAACAGAATTCTATTGAATTGAAAAAAAAAAATTTACAAAACAATATCAAATAATATATTGAAAAATAAAGAAACAGAATTCTATTCTATTGAAAAAAAAATGCTGTTCATATGTTTTTGACGCCTACGCCTTTCCTCATTTACGCTTTTGAATTGGATTTGTGGTGGCGTCCGAGAAGCTTCCCTGTGCCCATAATTTTTGTTTGGGCCAAAATTTTCACAATGCTGGGTTTATATATAATATTATCAGTGTTGGTTTTTGATGAAGTAAAAAAAAAAAAAAAAAGTAATGTGAACATTATTTTTTTAAAACAAGACGTGCATTATCCAAGAGCTTTCCTTACACGCGTCTTTTTCGACCAAATTAATTTTAATATCTTGAGAAAGCAAGATAAAATAAACGAGTTGATTAAGTTTTGGATTAATCGATATAATTTAAAAATTACAAGTTTTAAAAAATTGTATATAATATTATTTCTAATTATATAAATATAAAGATAAAAAAATTCAAAATAGATTAAAAAAAACGAAGGGCACCGACCAAACTACATTCAAAGGTTTTTTTTTTTTTTTTAAAACATTTTTTCTTTCGACTATAAAGAATTAATTGAAGGGTTGACAACATAGAGTCATGCCGTATAGTCAGGACAGGAATGGTGCCAAAACAAGAAAAAAAGGGAGCTTGACCTGAACTGCAATGCGATTCACGAGCCAGCCATTAGTTTGCAGTCTTCGTCAAGCAGCCTTACATGCACCATACCAATGTTTGGAATATTAAAATAAAAAATAAATAAAATGAGAAGAAATTAAGAGAAAGGGATAGCAGAGGTTAAATTATATACTTAATTTTAATTATTTTTGTTTGTGTTAATTCCTCACTTTTATTTAAATCATGATATATTTGGATCATCTGTGATTAATTCAATGAAATCTCAATAAAATCATAATTAAAATTTAAACTAAAAAAATCACTTATATCGACGTAATCAAATTAATTATTATCTGAATAAACCTTGTAATGTTAAGGGTAATATTAATATTGTTTGATTAAAAAAGAATTTATTTCTGGATTATGTATCATAATTCCTAAAAATATAATGATGGTAAAATAGAAAATTATTGATAGTTTTTTTTTTTGGGGGGGGGGTAGGGTTTAAAAGCTGAGTTGTATGCCTCCACTTAGATTCAAACCATGTTCTTTGAACAAGAGAATAATGTTCGAATGCAAATCCATGCCTACTCTTGCATTCCTCTTAATGCTTCTATCTTTCTACTCCATTTTTGGCCTTTTCCTCTTTTCCTTTTCTCTTTCTGCCCATCCCTCTTTAGCCTATAACTCCTCCAAGCGTCAAACCTCCTCCGTTTACTTTGTCTTCATCCTTATTGACCCTTTTTTTTTTTTTATAATTTTTCCTTCTAATTTATGCAAACAATTAAAATTATCTCCTACTTATAATTTATATAATCATATCAATTTTGTCTTAAAAAATTACTTGAGGGGTACTTTTGGAGCTATTGCTTAATAAAATTGTCTTTGTCTTATATTAAAAGTTGCCAACTGATTTTTTCTTTTATTTTTTTGTTTTTTCATTTTCTTTTTGGTTTTAATTTTTTATTTACATAAATTTATAATTTTTTTAATTATTTTTTATTTATTTGTATCATGTAAATTTTATAAATTTTTGAAAATAAATAAAAATTATTCCCATAATGAAATTAAAACAAAATTGTTACCAAAAGTATTGGAAAGATTTTAGAAATATTTTAATAAAAATTTTTATTTATTTTTAATAAATTATTTAGTAAAAGATAAATGTTGTACAATTAAAATAAATAGTTTTTTAATAAAATATCAAATTAATCTAACAATAAAGCTTTCTTAAAGGAACAAGTGAAATTTTTTAATATTTTTGAAATGAGAGAATTTTCTAAAAATTTTATCATAATATTGAAAAAAACTTAAAATTTTTTAATATTTTATAACTAAAAAAATTTAATTAAAAATAAAATATCATTTAACTAGAATCTTTTTAAAATAATATAAAATTAATCGATATTATCTTTAGATAAACATTGTGAGGTTGCTAACACATAAATTAATCAACAATATACATTAAAAGTTATTCCTAACTAGGGACAACTCTCAATTGAATTGTGCGCTATAAATTACTTTTTCATTTGTGAAATAATTATTGGTTGATAAAAAAGTGAAATAAGTTATTGGATTTGGTAGGTTGGGATTTGATTGGATTAAGGCATGATAAGTTGAGGTTTAATTGGATTTAGAAAAAAATATATATGATTATTTGTTTTAACGTAGGTTTGTAATTAGGTGAGAGATTTTATGGGTTTTGAATTTTTATAAATTTTAATCTATAATAAAATAAATATAATAAATATAAAATTTATAAAAAAAACAAAAAATAAATAAAAATTAAGTTACTTTTTTAATTTTTTGTTTTAAATATTGTTACAAAATATTTATATTATCTAATAAATTGAAAATTCATATATATGTATAATCATATGATTAATAAAAAAATAAAATACTCATAACGTAGCATAAAAAATTAACAAAAAAAATGTAATTACAATATATGAAATATATATTAATTTTAATACTTTTTGTCAAAATGCATGAAGTACCATACATAACATAGCATGAAATATTAACAATTTTTTTTCTTTCATTATTTAATATCTAAACGTTTATATATATCCAACCTGTGCTTGTCGGATTTTCATCTAATTCGATTTTATAAGATTTTTTTTAAATCAAATTTTGAATTAAATCAATTTAGATATTTTTGAAAGAAAAAGTTTAGGTTGGGTTTTGCATAAATTCGTCCTGGGTATATATATTATTTTTATTATTTATTTAATTATATATTTTTATATTTATTTAATTTTATATTTATATTTAAAAATAATATTAAATAATATTTTATTAATTTCAAGTTGGATCAAGGCGATTATAAATTTAAATATATGCAAATTAAATTAGTTCAAATATTAAATTTCTAAAATCAATTCGAGTTTAGGACGAGTAAAATCTGTCACAACTTTTCTCATTGTTATCCCTAATTATATTAAGTTCAATTGATAATTATAACCTTAAATATACAATTAATGATAAAATGCTCCAAAAATTATGAGTAACTATGACCTTAATTAACTTTCAACTACTAAGCTTTCCATTATACGTTTAACCCAATTAATTATGCATTATATTTATTTATTTTATTTAAAAAGAGCTATAACTAGTTTATCCCCCCCCCCCCCACTAAAACCCATGCCTAATTTATTGATACTTTAATTTGAGTTCTAATAACAATTTAACTTTATTAATTTGTGAGAAGTCGGTCAAATTTGCCGAGTCATGACTGAAATTAGAAATATCAATAGGTCAAAAAGTAGATTCTTCGTCTTCACCCTTACACTCGACTCTATCCTCGATCTATTTTTTATTTTGGGAAGATTTCCTTTTCATATTCCTCCTTCGAAGAACAAAGATACATTGATATTTTTGGTTTAATTAAAAAATAATTCAATTATTTTAAAATTTATCAAATAAAAATTTAAACAACAAAAAATTAATAATAATTTAAAAACATAGAGATAACCAACAACTACAATTTAAAAAGTTCAACAAAAAAATTGTACTTATTTTATTTTTATCAAATTACATTCGTTTTATAAAAAATTAGATTCGTAAAGATAAGGATCGATTCAAAATCAAATTTTAGTGAAATTAACATCCTTGTTCGAAGCAGCTATAGCCCATGTGGTCACGTTTCCAATAATTCAGTAGCTCTAATGATTTAAATATTAAAATTCTACTAAAAAGAGATTACAAAACAGAAAACAAATTATCCTGATAAAACTCTGAGCTTTTACCCATTACTCCATTATCTTTTATTTAAATATTAATAATATGACACAAAAATTATATAAAAATATAATTTATATAATTTATTTTGATAAAAAAATATAAAATAATAATTTTACGTATAAGTATAAATTATAACATAATAATTTTATATTTTATACATATTTAAAAAAAAAAGCGTAATAAGATACACGTATGTACGCCTACCAAAGTTGATCACGTGCAAATTGAGAAGAACAATGAGGGTCCAACAGATTACCAAAAAGTTGCGGTTGGTCTCTGGATACATCCACTATAAATTCTCATCTCGAGTTTCCAAACTTGAGGTCCATAACGAAACGAAAGTACAAAACAAAGCTACGCCAAGAAAAAGAAAAAAGAAACAAGAAAAATGGAGAATCAGAGCCAAAATGGAGCCGAAGCTCCTGTCAAAGTGTCAACACTCAATTGTATCGATCTCTCTAATCCTGATATTCATCAATCCGTCTCTTTACTCAAGCAGGTTTTTGTTTCCTTCATCAGCATTTTATTTTTGTTCGTTTGACTTGTGTTTTTAATGTACGTGCCGTGGGAATTTACTGTTTTTGTTTGTTTTTTCTTTTGATGGTTTGAAATTGATATTTTGATAGCTTGTTGATTATTAAGACAACCCCAGAATTAAAGTTTGGAATTTTTTGGTGGGTTTAGGCTTGTTTGGATTGTGGGTTTTTCTATTTGGTAAACCATGGGATAAGCCAGGAATTCATGGATGAAGTATTTGCTCAAAGCAAGAACTTTTTTCATTTGCCATTAAATGAGAAAATGAAAGTTTTGAGGAATGAGAAACATAGAGGCTACACTCCTGTGCTTGATGAGCTTCTTGACCCCGATAATCAAGTGCAAGGTCAGCAACTCTTTCATTTTAGTGATTGTATTTTTGTTTTTTTGGACTGTATTTCCTGCCTTACCATTCATATTGATCGTTGGTGAAATAGTTTATTTGGAATTAAAATACCGAGCTTTCTTTTTTTTTGATGGGGTAGTAGGAGACTACAAAGAGGGGTATTACATAGGTGTGGAAGTACCTGAAGATGATCCTGAAGCAGAGAAGCCGTTTTATGGGCCAAATGTTTGGCCTGCAGATGGTAAATTATAATGGATTTCATTGATTGGTTATCTTGCAAGACCTGGTTGAAAGAATTTTTCACCAACATTTTCGAAACTTTTGGCTCTGGTTAGGTGTTTTGCCTGGATGGAGGCAGACTATGGAGAAATTCCATCATGAAGCATTGTAAGTTATAAACTAGTTTGTGATTAGGTTTCTATGCGTGTTTTATGATATGTGCAAAGAAAATAGGCTAATAAGATTGTGTTTTTCTTCTTTATGTGCAATTAGGGAGGTGGCAAAAGCAGTTGCAAGGGTCATAGCGCTTGCACTTGACCTAGAGGTTGATTTTTTTGACAAGCCTGAGATGCTTGGGAAGCCTATTGCCACCTTGCGCTTACTACACTATGAAGGTGGAAGATCATGGAATGCCATTATTTAATCGTGGTGTCATTGCACTGTTGATATAACTTGTTATATAATTTTTTTTTTGGGTATTAACTCGTTATATAATTTCATATTCCAATCAGGTCAAATTTCTGATCCTTCAAAAGGAATATATGGAGCTGGAGCACATTCTGACTATGGATTGATTACACTTTTGGCAACAGATGATGTTATGGGTCTACAAGTATGAACATTGCTGTAATATGCGATTATATTACCATTATTCTGCACATTTGACTAGTTAACAAAAGATTATATGATTTTTGCAGATATGCAAGGATAGAGATGCAAAACCTCAGATATGGGAGTATGTTTCGCCTATAAAAGGGTTAGTTGCTGATGGCTAGCAGAGATTTGAGCTTCAGGGTTACATTGTATACATGCTAGTGAAAATGCAAGTTGGTTTTACTGCCTTGCAGTTGGAGGCTGCATTTGGAACCAATATCAGTTTTTAAGCGATTGATTTCCAGTTATTTACTGCACCTAGGTTGCTAGCATCATTTTTACTGTTATCTTCTTAAATTTCTATCCTTGCATTGTTCTGTTCATCACTTACTTTGTTCTTGCTTTACATGTAATAAATTTAATTTGATCATTAATAATCATAATTCATGATATGCTTAAAGTGTGGTTGATCTTTTTACAGAGCTTTTATAGTCAATCTTGGGGACATGCTGGAGCGCTGGAGCAACTGTACATTCAAGTAATGTGCAACTTTCTGTTTTAACTATGGTCCAAATTGCATTAAGATGACAGTAAAAGATGAATGATGGATTTTAAGGGGCTCGCCATGTTGTTCAACATTTACTAAATAACTTTAGACTAGTTTTGATTCTCTGCTTTGCCTTTTACTTTTAAGTTCAGCCATTTATTATCTTGATAAATTTAAAGCCTAGAACTGTTATCTAAGGCTGCATCTCCACTGATCTAGATCAAATATAGCTCCATTATTTCTTGGCTCTTTTGTATTGTTATATGTACGCAGGGTTACTAAGTGAAAGCAACCCTATAGTGGCCTTAAGCTTTTTTGCCTCCAGTTTCTTATTGTTTCACAACTTTCTTACACTTATTCATCATTTTTTTTTATAAATTTTACACTCTGAATTTGTGCTGCTCTGAATCTGTTCATTTGTTGGATTATATTTGCTTGAGGTCATCCTACAGAAGGGTGGATGCTACCCTTTCATAACTATCTTGCTTGAACTTTATGTAACCAAATACTTGGTTTTATGTACCCAGGTCCACTTTGCACAGAGTTTTAGGAAACGGTCAGGAGAGATATTCTGTAAGGCCCCTTAGCTTTTTAAACCGTTCTTTGTCATCCAGGTTTTAAGGCCTTTCAAAGCCTTTTGGATGATTCATGATTGAAACATCTGTTCTATGATATCGGGTTGCTTCAATATATTTATCCCGTTGCACTCTCTTCTACATGTCATGTCTGACTTTAGTGCTGGTTAATATATTTATTTCTTGATGTACTTGTTCTTTGTCCATGTGGCCAACTATCTATGGTATCTAAATTCGATTAGGGTAAATTGGGCTTTCAAGAACTTTGAAAATTAACTTTTCTACCAACTCTTGTTACTCTATTTAGTTGATTCCATCTGATCTTTTCTGACTCTGCTAGAATAAACTTAACAATTCTGTGATTGTTGTATGTCAACAACTCGGCTAAAATTGTTGGGAACCATTGTCTATCTGAGTCATAACATTATGAGTGGAAGGATGCTTTAGTTCTGTGAAAGTTTTAAAAGCATTTTGGTTGACAGGAAAAGAAAGGTTTTAACTGTCATCTTCATCTGGTTATCTCTTATCGTTTGCCTTCTTAGTTTAAACTTTTGGCTTAGTTACTTTTTTCTTTAATATTCCTTTTGGTAAGTTTCTTTGTGAATAATCTTGCTTGGAATTTTCATGTTCTCTTACTATCTTTTAACATAATCTTTTGAAGAAGTAAGGTTTATGTCTGTTGTTTCTGATGACAGATTGCATACTTTGTGGAACCTAGTCATGACTGTCTGGTCGAATGTTTGCCAACTTGCTATTCAGAAAATAATCCTCCCAAGTAAGTCTTAGAATCAATGTGTTTTAATTATAGATAATAAGTGAAGTCAATCTTGAAACCCCTCCCCTTTGAGACCTTAGTTGCTATGAAACCTATGTAGATTACCTTTAATTATCTTGTTGCATCTGACATACCAACTCTAATTGAGCTGCTGCATGTATTTTAACCAGGTTTCTGCCAATTAGATGCAGCACATACCTGAGCCAACGTTACAAGGACACTCATGCCGAGTTAAGCATATACAATAAACATCAAACTTGATAAACATCAAACTTGTTCTCGGAATCAGGAACTTAGGTCAATTGGTTTATGCAATCACCCTTAAGAGGTGGTATCCAGAAGGTTTGGATTCAAATCCTAACACTTGCAATTCTTTTCTCTATCCTAAGTAACGGTCTCCTATGTATTTATAAAAAAAGACTTGAAGTCCTCACAGAAGATGTTTCCTCATGTTTAGGAAAGGTAAACTTGTAATTTTCATAATACAGGGACCTATCGATTTGAATGTGCTATATCAAACATCAGAAAATCCATTTTACCCACATATAGATGTATTACAGTAACAGGGTTATCATTCCTAATAAAGTTATTACATGTTCCAAGATTCAAAAGGGAACCTAGTTTGGTCATTTTCTCTTCAGCTAAGCTTTCTACTGATGAACAGATTACAATCACAAAGCAAACTTTCCTACCAGCTGTCCCTAAAGCGTCACAGCCGTATGTAATCTTTACAAAATAGAGAGAGTTGTAGATCAAGTAGATCCAAAAGTTGATGAATCTTCAGAATCTTTGTCAAATTCGGTTCTTAAATAGATGGTTTGAAGTATTATATACTGTTGGGTTTTCACACAACATAAACATACCAACGCCTCATTGTCGGCTGACAAAAAAAAAGAACTTTTCAAACACTCAAATACAACAAGTTGACATTTCCCAAACTAAGTCATATTTTTAGTTGACCTTATTTATTAGGCAACATACAACATATGATGAGCTTAAAGATGAAGCTACATACAAAATGGTGAGGAATATCTGTCCATTTACCGATAACTTCGGTAAACAGGAGAGTACATGCAACTCTCAGCATACTTCACAAGATTTGCAGGGCGAGGGAGACGTGTTGCCACACCTATAAGAAAGCATAATTAGAAATAATGTCATGATTGAGAAATGAAACAGTGACAATTTTTATCTTTAAATCTACAAGAAATGTCACTCACCAAGTTCATATGCCTTAGCAGCCACGTTGGCAGCTATATTAGCTGAAATTTTCCTTATATTAGAGAATGGTGGGTAAATAAGCCCCTTGTCATAGTTTTCCTCAGACACTTGCTTAGCCAAGGCTTCCGCTGTTATAGAAGACGGACAATAAAAGTATACAGTCAATCCCCCGGCCCCTTATTGGCACTTAAATTCATGTTAAGACAAGACGTGATAATTTTAAATATGACATTGTATCACACGAAAATAATATGAAATGACTTGATTTAAATAGCAAAAGTTGTATGAGTTTAGCAAAAAAATGAGCCATGTTTGATATGTTGACACAAATTTGACACTATAATTTTTCATGTTTTACACGTATCTAACATGACACATATGGATATTTGGCAAGTCTAGTTAACACAAATTGTCAGGTCTAGTTAAGACTTTAAATCACTGTGAACTTCATTACGTATCTGCTTCAGTTGTTAAGATTAGTCTGTTGCACAAATAATGAATAAAAAGAATGCCACAAGTATAGATAACTTTCAGTTTAGCAAACAAAAAGGAAAGACAAGACAGCTTATATCAATAATGTTGTTCTTAAATTACATCCTACTTACAGGCTGCCAGAAGCATGTCATCATGCACACGAATAGCTCCAGAGATGACCAAACCCAAACCAAATCCTGGGAAAATGTAAGCATTGTTGGCCTGAATTGACAAAAGAAAACACAAAGCTCAGTCCCTAATATTCAACAGATATCCCATATGGGATAATTTTCTGAAATATACTAAACAATCAAATAATGGTTGGACCTGGCCAGGAACAAAAACTTTGCCATTGTATTCAAAAGGATCAAATGGACTTCCACTAGCAAAAATTGCACGGCCCTGCAAGATGAACCCAAAAGAAGACAACAACTTATAAGATTCATATTTTGAAGCAAATAGGGCACTCATACTTCCCAGCAGCATTTTCACCTTAGTTATGAGGTGAAACAAGTAAGAACTAAGAAGCATTTTACCTGACTCCAAGTATAAGCCTCTTCAGCTGTGCACTCAGATTGTGTGGTTGGATTCGAGAGAGCCATAACAAGAGGTTTCTGCATCATCATAGATTTACAACAATGTAAATCTTTTTCGTAGGTCTGGATGACATGTAGTTTTACCAGAAAGTATATAGATACGGTTAATGCATAAAATACCTCATTGAAGGATGCTAGGGTCTCTATTATTTCCTTCGTAAAAGTTCTTCCCACTCCAGATGATCCGATCAAAACTGTTGGCTTGATTGCCTGAAGAAGAAAGAAAAGTAAGCACTGAAAATTACTTCTTTTTTTAACAAAGGAGACTGAAGCCTAAGGATAAGAGAAGAGATTGCAAGTGTTGAGATTTGAACTCCAGGCCTACTGGATCTCACCTTTTAAATATGACTACATGAATCAACTAAGCCCTCGTTTAACACCAAAAAATACTTCGAAAAATGCAAAAGTAAGCAATGTTTTTCTTACCTTGACAGCACCTAATAGATCCTTAACAGGTTCATGTTCATGAGCCCAAGGTTTCTTGAAGTGTTGAAGTGACTCTTTACGAGAGCTAATAATCAGTCCCTGAAAGATAATTCACATGCTCCTTAGGTGAAAAGGGATGTCCATAGGATATATTTCTTTTGGCAAGAATCATGACCAAGCTTATCTATACCTTTGAGTCCACAAGCCAGATCTTCTTGCGGGTCTCTTCCAAGGGAGTTTTTGTCTACAAGTAAGACATAAAAAAACCACAGCCAGCATAATAATAATACCAAACACTAATGAACTAAAAGGATCTGCAAGTTTTAGTAGCATGCTATTACCTGCTTTGACATCTCAAGAGCTATAAGCTCTGCTATACCAGTCCCAGCCTGCAACAGTATGACAGAAGCAAGTGTAACTGACTATTAATACAGACTGCTGAAAATTAGAGAGGTACCGTGAATTGATCCATTAAAAGTTAAATCATGTTGCAGAGAGTGCAATATTTTCTTTCAATCTTTCTTATAAATTATTTCAGCATTTTCCTCCCTTTCCCTTCTGCAAAAGATAAAAACAATGACGAGACAGAGATCAGAGTCTTACCTCTCCAGCACCAAGGAACAAGAATCTGTGGTCAGTTAGAGTACCACCAATCAACTTCAATGCTGCAACAACCCCAGCAAGAACAACAGATGCTGTCCCCTGCACCAAAAATGATGGTAGATTAAAGAACACCTAAACAATCATAAGGAGGGAGTCCCTTATAATGCTTCTACTACCTGTTACCTGTATATCATCGTTGAAGACAAGGTGGGTTGTGCCATATTTAGCAAGCAATGTAAAAGCGTTATGATTTGCAAAATCTTCAAACTGCATAATGCCAAACGAATCAGACATGGTTAGAAAATGCAAGAAGAACATCACATCACAAAAATTTTATGAAAAATCGAAAGTCTCCAAAGCATGAATACCTGTATAAGAACTTTTTCCCCATAGTTCCGCTTGACAGCAGTCATGAACTCATGTAGCAAGTCAGCATATTCCTAAATGTAGTCAAAATAACCTCAGAATAAAATAAGTTATGCAGTTCATAATGATTATGAAACTAAAATCCACCGAGGTATGCAAATATTGACAAACCTGCCCAGTTGCCCTCTTTTGTCTAAGCCCAATGTAGAACTCATCCTTCAACAATTCCTCATTATTTGTGCCCACATCAATGGTCACAGGCAAACACTATAAAGCAGAATCAGTAATTATGAGAGTCTGAGGTTCAGATCTATGATGGCATCACTACAGTTGCTATTATATACAAATTTCAGGCTTAAGAACTACAAATATAGATCTCAAGCACATCAAATGAAGAAATTCAGGAGAAATGCCACAGTGGAAATGCTTACCACCGAAGGACGAATCCCTCCAAGTGCTGTGTATAAGGACAATTTTCCAACAGGAATTCCCATCCCCTGAATTTCCAACAGAATCACACCTACTCTAGTTATTCTTTATAGCTTAGAATCCCAAAACTGCAATTTAAACTAAGTAACAATTAAAATGTTTCTAATTAAAGACATGATCTTAACACAATTTACCTGACAGCCAAGATCCCCAAGTCCCAAGATGCGCTCACCATCAGTTACAACAATAACTTGAATACTTCTTTCAGGCCAGTTCTTCAAAACATCATGAATTTTTCCCCTGCACATTATAAGGTTAAGTTGAAGCCTATCCATTGGAGATTCGGATTTACACAACGAAAAGAAACATTCATACTTCTCTTTCAAACTTATGTATAGACCCTGAGGACGCCTGAAGATGCTTCCATACTTCTGGCAAGCTTCACCTACAGTTGGAGTGTAGACAACCGGGAGCAGCTCCTCAACATTATCAATTAGAAGCTTGTAAAACAGTCTTTCATTCCTTTGCTGTTAACAGTGAAAACAAAGGAAAAAAAAAGAGAATTTATTCAGTTATTCCCTTTTCCTCTGAACTGATCATGAACATTTCTATTACTATACAGGCAAAAGAATGATAAATCCCTAACATTTTTTTCCACATCAATTCATTGCAAAAATCAATCTGTCTATATCAAATATTAAAAACGAAAAGCAAAGAAAATAAATGAACAAATTCAAAGCCTGATTTGAATATAATCAGAGGTAAAAGAGAGACCTGAAGCTCCATCATGGCCATATACTTTTGCAGTGGAACTTGATATTTTCGGATACTGCTCATCAACTTTTTCTCCTGGGTTTCAGAGCAAATATAAAACATTAATTAATCCTGCCGCTAATATGCAAACATATTTGGGCAAAAAGATGATGCAATTAGTATAACCTGAAGCTGTTGAGTGACAACAGCAGGAGGAAGTAAACCACGCAAGTAGTGAGAATCCCTCTCTGTCTCAGTGAACGCAAGCCCTTTGTTATGGTGTGGATCCCTCAACAATGTATATCCACTGCACCAAGGACTGATAGTTAAATTCAGACCAAAAAAAAAAAGAATTGACCACTTTCTTTTCCTAGCTTTCTAAACGGTTTTAACAATCATTTTCATTTCTATTACTACCATAATTTTTAAGTAAATTAAACCAAAATCGAAGGATGTTTGATAACTGATCAATCATGAAAACACTCTAAAACAGAAACAAAAACTTACAGGTTAAAAAAAAAAAGTAAGAAGAAAGTTGACCTAGCGACAGAGTAAGTCCAGGGGGTGACCAGCTGGTCCTCAGTGGCACGATCCTCGCCGTAGACATCCTCAACACCGCCACCAACGGTGGATTTGGGGTCCATGCCTAGCACTGATTCCCCACCTCTAATCTCCTTCATGGTGCTCTCCATCCTTTCCCTTATATTGCTTCAGCTGATACTGTTACTACTATTTTTTTCTCTGAGTTTCAGAGATTCAACTGGATATATTACGAACAAATAATCAATCACCAGAACATTCAGAAACACAAACTTGGGTTAGCTGTTTTCAGTGTCCGAAGTTAAATTTTAGAATCAATCAAAAGTCAAACTGAAGACTGTAATAAAAAAGATCAACGTCATTGTCGTGCCGTAAGAATAGGAGGAAAAGACCCCATTTGGAAACTTAACTTATAGTGATATAGATGGTGATTCTACAACAAAAAGCGAAGTATTAGTGTACTGCATACCAAAAAAAAAAAAAGTTTGCCAAGAAATAAGGGCATGTTTGGCAATGATGGATTAAAATAATATAATAATTATTTTATATTTTATCATATTTATATTTAATTGAAAAAATATAATTATAAGAAAGATTAATTTTTTTAGTATAAAATAATTTAATTTTTTAAAATAAAAAAATTATTTTTAATTCATGAATTAAATTTATTTATTCAATTATATTTTTAAAATTTATATTATAATTTAGATTATATAAATTTTAAAAAATAAATAAATTATTTTATCTTAATTTTATATACATTAAATATAAAATAAAATGATATTATTTAATATAATTTTATTTATAATATTATCTTATATTATTTTAAAATAATATTATATATCAAACATGACTAATTTTAGCTAAGATTCTTGAGAGTTCTTGTCATTGATAGCAAGTTGGGCACCGTCTGAACTCTTAAAATACTTCAGAAATAACGTTTGTGTTTAATTTGTAACGTTTTGGAAAGAAGGTGGAAGTAGGGTTCTATTTTTAAACGCACAAAATTTAATGGCTAGGTGGCAGATGTGGGCCAACGTGGTGGCCAAGTGGTGGTGGTGGGTGGCTGAGATTGGTAACTTTCCAACAAGGGAAAAGAAAGGGAATGCTTGCCCCACGGTTGTGGGTGGGAGTAGGGACGTTCATGTCTTGCTGATTTTTAGCAGATTTGAGGTCCCATGATTTCAGTGTATCATTGGAATATACTTTGCTTTAGTCAATAATGCAAAGATCCTTTTCGGGTCCCATTCAGCTTTGTATTTTTCTGTTTTACACTTTCAATCCTCTCTTTGACAAGATAGGAAAACATGATTCACTTGTTTTTTTAAATAACAAAAAATTCTTGAATTTTTTTTTAAATAAATGTTTATATATTTTATTCCATTAAAATAAATTATTAATTTTTTAATTATATTTAAATTAATATTTAACTTTTTATTTATATTTAAAAGTTAAATAAATATTTAACTTTTAGTTTCATTTATAAATAGGAAAACATGTTTTTTTTTTCTTTTTTCTATAAGAGCTATAAATAAAAGTCTAAAAGGTTAGGGATCATTTTCTGCCAAAAAGTTCCAAGCCATTGCTCCACCAACAGCCGCCTGGCTAACTATGACAAGTTGGGTGACGTTAGGGGTGAGAAAAAAAAAATTAAAAATTGATAAATTAAATTAAACTCGTAAATTTAATTTGATTTAAATTTAAATTAAATTTAAATTTTCATAATATTATATAATATCTAAAAAAATTAAAATAAATTTGATTTAAATGAACTATTATTACTCTAAATGACACAATATTTTATTAATTTCCTTTCCTACACTAACTAAAATAATTTTTTACAAAAAAAAAAGGAAATTTCAAAAAGAAAAATTTATTAATCGATTCTATGATTAAAATATTTAATAAAAAAGAAATCATATATAAAATTAATTAAAAAATAAAATTACTTTGGTGACTTTAATGTTCATTCAAAATTACAAATAATTATTAGGTACATAAAAATAAAATATAAGCACATACAAATGAAATATACATACAATTATTTTATAACATATATGCATTTTTTTTATTAAATTTACATGTATTCGTTTTCTTTCCATTGATTATTTTTTATAATAATACCAAATAATAAATATTTTCGGTAAATTACCATTTCCTATAATTCCCTCAAAAAAAAGCCCTTTTCTGTTACACTTATTTGGCAGCTTTATCTCCAAGTAATGTTTGCTTGGACATGGATAAGGATAAGGATAAGGATAAGGAAAAGGAAAAGGAAAAGCATCATCTTTTTTGACCTTTCCCACAGAAGTGAGTATTTTGAAGGCTTCCCTCCACAAATTAAAAAGAAACAAAAATCATATGCTTCAGGATATGATAAACTACATATACAGATAAGTTTCTTTTTAACTTGAACGTTTGAAAGCATATATCATTAGCCAATTACAAAGCACATTAGTTCAAGCAAAGAGGTCTTTCAAAACAGAAGGTGCACATGACAAGGTATTTTCACCTTGCTCCAAGCAATACAAACTTAACAGGGCTGAGCCTGCAACTTTCCAAGCAAATGCGCATTTGCTTACGTCTTCCTTTCTGATGGCATAATCATAGGAAATGTTATAAATAGCCACTGCCTCCTCGTAAATCTGGTCGAGAGGCCTTTGTCTCTGCTCCAATTCTGCAGCTCCGTACAATTTCTAAACCACAAGTAAATATAAAGAACGAGTGTTAAACTTCGATATGCTGCAAACAAGGAAGAGGCAACGTGCAAACACAAAGCTCAACGACCACCTTTTTGTATTTGTTATAAACAGCGTTAGCAGCCTCTTCTTTCTGTTCTTTGCTCTCGGCATCCAAAGCCTCCGTCATGTCCTTCCTGTATTGCTTATAAAGTTCAGTCCATTTTTCTCTGCAATCTCCCGGAAAGCCAACGTTGAAACATGGTAGCTTCCGAACTTCTGAACAGGATAAAACTGTAACATATTATCCCCTTTTGCTTATACTCCATAATAGCATGAAAAATCAGAAAGATGCTCTAATGATAATGCTCTTAAAACCAAATGATGCATCAAGCTTTAATGTTGGTCAAGATAACCTTCACCTTTCTTTGACAGTTCTTCGTTGTATGATTTGACGAAGTCATACATTTTCCCCAATATAGATGTTGATTTGAAAGAATATTCTTTTTCCCGCTCCATATAATGAGGAAATGCAGCTGCCCTCAAGTCTTCTGGAATTTCAATCTATTCACGATAGCTAATATAAGTAAAATATTTTTTGGAGGTCAACAAACATGAAAAAGTAAATAAAAATAGCTATACATGTATACATAGAGTTTACAGCAAAACCAAAAAAGAAGCAATCATCTCTCACATATACTTCACAATAACCACTGCAACAAACTAAAGCATTGCTGTTTTAGATAACAATCAACCACTTATGCCATAAGTTCTTCAAATCAATTGCTTGCCATTGACTGATGAGAATGTTGTTATTGACTTCACTTGAAAGTAATGATACTTACATGGGCTAAATATAAGCTAATCTCAATCCCTTGACAAAGCAACGTACTAACCTTTTTTCCTGTCTTTGGTGCATCCAAAGCCTCGTAGTATAAATTAATCAAGCTTAGCAGGTTTTGTTTCACAAGAGCCTTCTCATCAGAATTGCTATCTTCCAGTGTAAGAAACCGGTCCATTATTGCCTTCCAATTATCAGCTGCAACACTCATAGCATAACTGAAAGCAGCCAAAAGCAACTTTACATTAGACCAAAACCAAGAACTAGTACGATATTAAGACTATCGACAGAACTTCACCACCATACACTGTATATGTTAGGAACCAAAACAGGAGATGCCTGCCCGAGTTGCCATCTCATATTTGTTATTGAATAATGAAGGATGAATTAACGAACTTGCTCTAAGACTGATAATAAGTTAATAACATGCTACTAGTTGGCCAAAATAAAAAACACACTACTAAATGACTTTGACTTGGTCTCCAAGAACAGTATATCATTTGATAAAACCAAAAGACATTTTGGATGTCCACAAAAGTATTTTAATACTGAGCTGTGAAACAAGCAAATTAACTGAGTGCTTTTTAAGGGAGAGGTACTAGTTTTGAGGAACTTCAGAACATAACTTCAGATGAAAAAGAATTTTTACATATAAGATTTTGATTTATAATATATTAATTGTTCAGAAAGGAATGTCATAAACATTGACACTTCGTGATTCAAGCAAATTCAGTACAGCAAACTTTCACAGCCATTAACATTCAAAGTCAGGCCTCTTACTTGTGAAAACAAAATATTATTAAGGTGTACGGTAAAGTGATTACCTTGGCTGAAACCTAGTTCTCAAGAATAATTTGAAGAGCTCATCCTCCAGCTCCTCATCTGAAAACTCAAGTGGTCCTTTAGTAGGCACTCCACAAGTTGAAGAATTGTCTATCCAGGGTTCACTCATTTTGAAGTAATCCAATAACTGAAGACAATTGGTGGCTAATCTCAGGAAACGTCAAAATAATGCCAAATATAGATGAAACCTACAATTTAATGTACAACATTTGCATTTGTACCATATCTATAAATCATCATTCACTAATCAAATTTAAAAGAAGATTCCTCATTTTTGAAGAGGTTAGCCAAACTTCATTATAAAATTCAGTAGCCAACGCATATATAGCACATAGGATATTTTGGTGCATAAATTTTTTTATTATATATGTATATAAAAAAACTCAATATTTCAATTTAAATTCTAAAGTACAACGGCAATATTAACACTTAAGCATGTCTCATAGATGCCGATGTCAACTAGGACATGAAATAGTTAAAACTTTCCCTACATAACCAATATCCTTTTCACGCAAAATCTATAAGAATGTTGTTGACATCTCTAAAAATGCTGTTTCCAGGAGTTAACACCAACCATGCAGGAATGTAAGGACATTCAAGTAAATACAACTGTAAGAGGATGGAAGAGTGAACTGAAGACCAAATTAAATGTTACCTTCTAGCATATACGTAAAGTAATGCTCCTAATGGATGCATCCAGTTGAAATAAGTGCAAGAATATATTAGTTGAAATAAAGACAAAGGATAGTTACCTGTTTGACCATCTACTAAAAGGAAAGAACAATAAAGGTAGCAATCAGGGCCGCTACAGACGGAAGAAAAGGAAAAGAGTAAATAAACTCTTTAACAGGAAAGTAATTCAAAATAAAACCAACCTGGGGATTTCTTGATACGAAATACATATCACCATCAAAATCACCCCCAGCCATCTCATCAGCCAATGAGCGTCTGCCTTTACAAGGAAAGAATATAGCATACTTAGCATGTCCTACATATTCATTCAAGGCTTCCACATATCTAGCATTTAGCACATGTATATCTCCAAAATGTATACCGGGTTGGTGATACACTAGCACTTTCCCAGAAATCTGTCCATCATCCCTACACATATCATCAGAGCAGACAACACAATATCCAATCATCAAAGAAGGACAAACTTGTCAACTGCCATGTAACTAGTTATACTTGATTTATTAGATTCATCTTGCTGCAAAAAGTTAAATTTCTGTCCAAAACAGTTGAGACTGTGTCGACGAATTTACTAATACAACAATAATAACATAATTCAAGCAAAGGGTGCCCCAAACAGTATTCCTTTCTCTTATGCATCATACACCTTAGTATGTTTCAATGTCTAACAAAATAAACTGAATTACAACTTGCTTTAAGGAAGATGTGTAAACAAAATTAAAAGTCCAAATTGGTGAGAGGGTGGGGGCGATTGTTTGCACAGTATCTTCCATAACTAATAGAATATCTCAACATCAATGCACGGCATCACAAGGAAGCTCCAGCTTCCTTGTAACTTAAACTGTAAAGAACATTATGCAGCAACATTTTCTGATATAATATTTAACAGGAGAATCTGTCATACAAGCAGTCTCTAGTACCAACCTTCTATTGGGAAAAAAGTGAAAGAAGGAAACTTGGGGAAACTCTATACTTTCCTGCATTCTCATTCCCTTCAGCTTTATTTATTTTCTGTCAAGATTAGTTATAAGTAGGTATTGGATCTTCATATCTTTTGCCTAACAAAGGGTGGTAGAAGTTCAGTCTAAAATACAAAAACAGCTTACATCATTTCTAACATCATCATCTGCAAAGACACATCCATACTAGAGATCCGAGACTAAAGACACCAGAATAAGATGTCTTTTTTGTTTTTAATCAAAACATGAAGTCATATCATATAAGTGGAGATGGACTTCAAAGAGTTATTCTTGGAATATGTGTCAGAATACATGAGCCTACATGCACAGATGTAAAGGCTCCTGTTATCACTCTCTTTCAACATGCACATCGTATAACAGAACAGCTAAAGCAGCTACCATTAAATGTTAAACCATGTGCTATAATCACTTAAATCAAAAGGTTATGAGATTTTGCTTTCCAAAATGGACAGACTCATTCCTTTGTTTTTATTTTGAGATGCTCCAAAGGTTTCCAACTTTCAATATTGTCGCAAGACTTGATATTGCTACTTAAACTTTTACATTTTCCATAGAAGAAAACATATTCCATTACGATATTTGTAAGAAATGCAGTTCAAAATTGTTATTATTTGTTATGTCACCATCACAAACAAAGAGACAAGAATAACAGAATAACCCCAACTTACGTACAAGATAATGCTGACTTGATCACTTTCTAGGACTCCAGATGGATCAACAGTGCCCATTAAATAATAAGACTCAGTCATAGGGAGCTTTCCTCCTAGCAGACCCTTCCTTTCTTCATTCAACATTATTGACATCCTATGTTGTAAATATGATTCATCAAGGGGGATCCCTGATAAAATCATTTTTGCTGCACTGAGATCATCCATGCTGCCTCGGTTAAGAGAAACTGCACGTGATAGTTATGAAGATCCATTCAAAAGGTGATTATATCAGTGAGAGGTACAAAGCAAAGTGGCATGAACGAGAGAACATTGTTGAAATGTATATCAAATTTGAAGGAGATTGTGCAATGCCAATAAAAGCAAAGAGCAATAAAAACATTAGAATAGAAGAGAATTTCATTTATAAAAGAATATAATATTGTCATGTTAAGGTTGTATAGTCTTCAAAATTGGAGGGAGAATTCAGGGAAGGGGGGGAAAATTTTTGGAAGTTGACAAAACTACCTTTAAGAGCTGTGCGTTTGTTGGAGAAAACACTTTGCGACTCTTCTAAGGCATTCTTCAAGATGTCCATAAAAAAGTCATTTGGGACACCTCCATAGCTAAGGAGCATAATCAAATTCCTTGAAAGAGAAGTTTTCTTTGGTTGATTGCTGCAGGAGATAACACAAATACATCATCCCGAAATGCAATAAAATGAAGTTATCACAAGGCATCAAATTTCTCAGGGTAAATCCATCTCATCAAAGCCAAATACATCAAAATCAAGTCAGAAATAAAAGAAACTTTACGCCTTCACTTGCTTATTGGCTTAAAACAGGAAGTGGGTAATTTTTATTGGGGCTGGAGGACTGATTTGAACTTATTCTGCACTCATGCTTTGAGCTTCCATAGCACCATTAGTAGTTGCTGTTAAGTTCTAGGGAAGTTAAAACTTAAAAGTGATGTGAAGCCAATGGATTCGAAGCAGGGCTTTATGCCCATCTATTAGGTTGGACACACAAGCACTAGAGTGATTCAACACCTGGGAATGGGCACCCCATCCCCACTTTGGGATGGAGAGAAAGACCTTTATCTCCCTCATTTTCCCAATTTGGGGCATGTTCATTTTTGCAATTACTAAAGACACAATAGCTGGCAAGCATCACCCTCTGACAGCTAGAGTTTATACTTCAATGAAGCATTCACCTCAAAAACAACATTGGACAATTACATTAAATGTTTTCTGGTTAGAAGGCTATGCTCAAAGTATGGTTTCAGGGAATGAAAGAAGAAACGAATAGTGCAAAGACAAACTGTCAGAATGGCAATGCTACATTCAGCAGGCCTGCATACTTCTGTTCATCTAAATTTATCTATCGAGTGGATATTTTGACAAACATGGGCATAAGGAATAACATAAATGATAGATTCAATCCTTTTCTCATTTACCTTTATTTTCTTTATAGGAGATTCTGTGGAAAAACTAAGAAATAAATCAGTGTGGAAACTGAATGTATATTGAAAAACTGCTTATTTAGAATTATACAAGAACCTTAGTTTTATATACAACTAACTAGGGGTTAAACTAGGAAACTAAATCTTCCTAAAAACTATCCTATAATTGGAGATTGTTTATTCTAATTTTTGTCCATTAATTCTAGGGATACAGAAAATACTTAATTCTAGATACAAATAAATAATACTATTACAATATTACAACTAGTGTAATAGTGTTTTTCCACACTCCCCCTCAAAGGCTGATGATAGGTGTTTTCCATTCCCAGCTTGGAATAATTCCTTTGAAATGTGCACTGCTGAGACCTTTAGTCAACACATCTCAAGTTGACCCTTGTTGAATTACATAAGGTGTACAAATCAACCCACTGTCTAATTTCTCCTTTATGAAATGCCGATCTACTTCAATGTGTTTTGTTCTGTCATGTTGCACAGGATTGTGTGCAATGCTTATTGCAGACTTGTTATCACAGTAAAGTCTCATTGGTCCATCCCATTTGATCTTCAAGTCTTCTAGGATAATCTTTAACCATAGTAGTTCACAAATTCCTTGAGCCATTGCTCTGAACTCTGCTTCAGCACTTGATCTTGCCACCACATTCTGTTTTTTACTCTTCTAAGTCACAAGATTACCACCTAAGAAAGTGTAGTAGCCTGAGGTGAATCTTCTATCAGTTACTGAACCTGCATAATCAGTATCTGTATATGCTTTTAGAACTAACCCCGAATTTCTTTTGAATAAGATACCTTTCCCAGGATTGACCTTCAAATAGTGCAATATACGATAGACGGCCTGTAGGTGCACTTCTTTAGGACTATGCATAAATTGACTTATTACACTCACAGCATATGTTATATCAGGTCTAGTATGTGAGAGATAAATGAGTCTTCCAACCAATATTTGGTACATCACTCTATTTACAGCAGCATATTCATTAGTTTCTCCAATTTTATGATTAGGATTTATAGGGGTAATTGCAGGTTTACATAAGAGTTTCCCAGTTTCCTTCAGAAGATCCATCACATATTTCTGTTGTGAGATGAAGATACCATGCCGTGAGTGAGCTACTTCAATTCCTAAAAAGTACTTCAATCTCCCTAGCTCTTTTATCTCAATTCTCTAACTAAACACTGTTTTAGAGATTCTTTCTCTTTTTCATCATCTCCAGTTACAATTATATCATCAACATACACTAATAGAACTGTGACTCTCCCTAAATCAGAGTGTTTGATAAATAATGTGTGATCTCCTTGACTCTATTTATATCCCATTGCTAACATCACTTTGGCAAATCTCCCGAACCAAGCCCTAGGAGACTGTTTAGGGCCATATAAAGCCTTTTTTTAGCCTACATACTTTGTTTGCTTTTAGATGACCTCCAAATCCCGGTGGAACCTTCATATATATTTCTTCTTCCAAATCACTATGTAGAAAAGCATTCTTTACATCAAATTGTTGAAGCTGCCAATTGTAATTTGCAGTCAATGATAACAAAATCCTAACTGTATTCATCTTGGCAACTAGAGCGAAGGTTTCCTGATAATCCATTCCATAGGTTTGAGTGTAGCCCTTAGCCACTAACCTGGCTTTATACCTTTCAATAGTACCATCTGCTTTGTATTTTACAGTGAAAACCCATTTACACCCTACTGAATTTTTTTCTTTAGGCAACTCTACCAGTTCCCATGTCTGATTTTTCTCTAAGGCCTTCATTTCTATTTTCATGGCTTGCCTCCATTTCTCACTGGATAATGCCTAGGATAATGTAGTTGGAACAGAAATAGTGTTTAAGCTCACAAGAAAATTTTTGTGGAATGGTAAGAATTTTTCAAATAACACAAAATTAGAGATTGGGTATAATGGATGCTTAGTACATTCTCTGGTTCCTTTCCTAATGGCAATAGGCAAATCATAATCACTAGTTATAGTTTTAGAAGATTCATGCTCATTTTGAGAAACTCATTTCCAGAATTAGGATCAGGTTCTTGGACTGGCACTGGTTCAAGATCTGAAACTTTCTTTCTTGAGTACACCTATAATTCCTTCATAGAATCAAAAACAATATTATCCTTTGTCACATCTTTTGTACTTGGAATAGGTTCAGACTCAAATTCAGTGTTTGACTTAAGCTCAACAGAAACAAGTTTCGACTCAGAAGAATTAATTGGTGTAAATGTTGAAGAAGGGGACAAATCAAGCAAAAAGAAATCTTTATCCTTATCTTCCATGAATGAAGTCTCCCCCTGAAGATAAGGTTGAGTAAAAAATGATTTACTTTCTTCAAAAGTGACATCTGTAGACACAGAATTTTTTGGTAAAAGGATGATAGCATTTATATCCTTTTTGAGTTGAAGAATACCCCACAAAAATATACTTAATTGCTCTTGGATCCAACTTTCCCCTGTTATGACTGTGAACATGAACAAATGATGTACAACCAAATATCCTAGGTGTGAGATTGTTTGTGGTATTGAGGTTGAGATAAAGTGAAAGTAGTTCATAGGAGTTTTAAATCCCAAAACCCTTAAAGGTAACTTATTTATAAAATGTGTGGCAGTGAGAACAGCTTTCCCCCAGTAAAATAGGCTCGGGTTATGGCTAGTAAATGGCTATTTTTCCTCTCTGCCACTCCATTCAACTGTGGAGTATTAACACAAGATGACTCATGGATAATCCTCTCTTTTTGGAAATAGGTAGATAGACTCTAGTTGAAGTAATCTCTTGCATTATCAGATCTAAATCTCTTAATTCTCACTCCAAATTGATTTTGGATTATGTTTTGGAAGCTTAAAAATATACTATTCACATATGATTTGGATTTAAGTAAAAAAACCCAAGAGACCCTGATACAATCATCTATGAATGAAACAAACCATCTCGCACTAAAAATATTAGGAATTGTAGAAGGACCTCAAATGTCACTACAAATCAAGTAAAAGGGAGTAAAACTTCTTTTGTTACTGATTGAAAAAGACACACATCTATGCTTTGCAAGTTCGCAAACATCACAATGAAAATCTTCGACATTTAATCCTTTGAACAAAGAAGGAAACATGTTTCTCAAGGTTCCAAAAGAAGGATGTCCAAGACGAAAATGATAAAGCCAGATTTTGTCTTTATTGAAAGATTTTTCAGAAAGAAATGACAAAAGTAAACTATTCTTGATATTATTTGTGTTATTTGATGTCTCAAGATAATATAGTCCACCCTTCTCCTTAGCAAGTCCAATGATCTTCCCCAAACTCTGGTCCTGAAATTCACAATAAGAGGGATAAAAAGTTACTTTGCAATTCATATCTCTGGTAAATTTTTGTATAGATATCAGATTAGTAGACGATCCAGGAACATGAAGAACATTTTTTAGAACAAACGAAAGATTAACTTGAACATCTCCTAATCCTGCCACTGTGGTAAGTGAACCATTTGCAACAACAATTTTCTTATTACTAGGACACAGATTATATGTACTAAACCTTTGGAAGAAATGTGTCATGTGGTCTGTTGCTCCTGAGTCAATGACCCAAAAACTCGTAATAGGCTTAGCCGAGACATTTAATCCATAAGAACCAAAAGCTTTACCTGAACTAAAAACCTTACCTAAAGAACATACCACAGTAAGCTTTTCAAGGATTTTCAATAAGTTTCTCAGCTTTTCATTCTCTTCCCTATCGAACTCTCCTTGTTTCTGAGACATCTATAGTACTCCAGTGATTTTTTCAGTTAACATTTTCTCAAATTAGGTGATAGTGATATTTTTCTTTGAAAAGGTTCAACAATGAAGGCCTAAACAGGATTCGGCAATGAAGGCCTAAAAAAGTCAGCAATGAAGGTTGAAAATTTTGCTTCCCAAGAAGAACCTAAAGCTCTAATACCATGTGGAAAAACTAAGAAATAAATCAGTATGAAAACTGAATGTATATTGAAAAATTGTTCATTTAGAATTATAAAAGAACCTTAGGTTTATATACAACTAACTAGGGGTTAAACTAGAAAACTAAATCTTCCTAAAAAACTAATCCTATAATTGAGAGATTGTCTATCCTAATTTTTGTCCTTAATTCTAGGGATATAAATACTTAATTTTAGGGATACAAATATAAATATACATATTACAATATTATAACTAGCTGTAAATAAGTGTTTTCCCACATATTCATTTCAGTTTTGAGAATGTATAGGCTCCCCCCAAAAAACTAATCTCTCCTATATTGAACCCAGAACACATTCAATTGGTACTTATCAAGAGATTTAAAAAAATGTACTAGGTGCTATGCACAAATACATTAAACAGAAATTATATGAATTGAACAATGGCAAGTACCTTGTTTTAACTACTTCCAGTGAATTTCTAGTGCAGATATTTGACAGATTCGGATCTGGCTTAACTTTAATCATCGAAGGCCGAACTTGAATGGTTCTGGGTGGAAGCTACAAAATTTTGGAATAAAGTTATTATAAGCATGCAGAAATTATTAGCCAACAACAATATGATACAGTTGTTGGGATCCTAGACAACAACAACAAATGGATTACATTGATCAATAGATTTTTTAAGGGAAATATGGCATTTGACATAGTCTCAATTCTGATTTCAAATGGTACTGGAGTGAACACACAAAACTAGATTATCTGATGCAATAACAGTTACAACTAATTGAACCAGACTAGATTATCTACTGCAAAGGACAAATCATCATTTCTCATTTCAAGCAGGGACTTTTCTGGAGGAGTAAGCTTATTCTAATCTTAAGGGAAAATAAAAAAACTATACCTTTTTATTGACAAGGACGGTTCCCTTGACAGCAGAACCATTGTTAAAAAGGCGGAACTGGACTAGCAAAGGCTAGGAAGAAAGAAAAAACAATGGAATGATAATCAATAGATAAAATCTAGAGAAGAGAGCACTAATTAATTGTTAAATGCACATACCGGTACCCTATGGTGAGATTCTGTCCGTTTCATGTCTGAAAACTTCCCCTAAAGTCCATTGAGATTAAAATTTATGATCATAAAAAATGCAATGAATTTAAAAACAGGTATCAATAAAAAGATCATAATATAACAATTTTAATATCCCCGCTATAAAATAAGAAATATCGATGGAAAGGAAAATGGAAAAATTTTTATAAAATAGTACCGGAGAAAACTAAATGGCAAAGGAATAGTTGGAACCTAGGCCTAACAAGCATGCTCATCTATATTACCTCAAACATTGTGAAGTTTTAACCAATTATACAAAACAGATTTAATGGAGTTTTAGTGCAAATGCTGCTTCAGATGGATATATATCAAACTGATTTGTGTTGTGCACACCAGAAAAATGAATTATTGGGCAAATACTCAACATTACTTTCACCTCAAACCAACTGAGTAACAAGTAGAAAATGAAGCACTCTACACCAACCTCAACATTGTCACCATTGACAACACTTCCTTTGAAGACATTTTTTGGGCATTTCAAAGCCAAATCCTCCGATATATAACCAGTTCCATCAGTGTGGATACAAGTTTCTCCATCTTTATTACACACCAAATTTCCATATTTATCCTGCAATAAGATTTTTTTTGGCTAAAATATCAAATTGAACTCAGGAAAAAATACATAAGATAAAAAACTATAAAGGGAGACAAGATCATTTTTATTGAAAACTTAAATCAATATACCACACCTGGCAAGGTATATCATCTATCACCATAACATTTACATCAGCTAAATCAATTTCCAACTTCATGGTCTTGGACAAGATTAGTGAAAATCTACAGCCCAAAGAAAAAAAAGCCTTTCAAATTATTAAAAAAAAAAAAAAAAACTTAAGATACCTCTCAAAAAAATTGAAGAAATTTAAAGGAATAAAAGAAACATGCAGATTTGTATCATCACTGACCTGGCCATATACTTGGCCACATTGGACAGGGTATGGGCATGCATAAACACACTTCTGGCTTCTTGAATTGTCTTGCCAGATAAAACATAATCTTTACCATCATCAATGGATGCATTAGACTCAAACCGAACAAATAAGCACCTAACAGATGAGGTAGTCCGGTCTTTCTTTCTTGCTTTTTTGCCTCCATCCTTAAACACTGAAAATTTACCATATTTGGGATAAAAAAAAAAAACTAATTTTCCATTCTGTGAGGTTAGGAACATAAGCATCGGAAGAGTTCAATACTTTGACTAGTATAACATAAGTTAAGACATCCTACAAGGTGGTACATACTCAATGCCATTCCCAACAACTAGGGTGTTCAAAGTTTTTTCCATGATATAGGTTTCTATAAAAATGAGAAGCAGAGGATCCTCAATAACTAACAAGTTGCACATAAAGAAAACAAACATGTATGTGCAAGTCAGGACATCCACAAGAAGCTGCAGACTGGAAAATAAGAGCAGTCCTTTCTGACGCACACATAAACAACCTCATACACCCAGCACCATAATGCAAAAGCCCCACATTCGTATTGGAATTGAAATCCGTAGTTGTTGTAACAGATCATCCTAATTATCAAACAGACAGAAACAAAGGGGTGACAAAGGAAAACAAATGAACATTACATTTCACCAATATTAAAATGAGGAAACCATCAACTAGAATTGTTGCAAAACAAGCACAAATTCCATGCTTTAAAAGCAGCTCTTACTGCATTGCTTTGTGCTAATTCTCTGAGACAAGTTGAATAAAACACCTAAACTAATGTTGAAAAAAACAACTAAAATGAACTGGTCAAAGCAGATATTCCTCATTTGTAAGATAAGAACAGCTGGCTGATGTATCATCCCTCCACTCTAGCAAAGGACCACATCACAAACATGCATGCCTAAGATACATACAGAGATGTATACTGCTAGCAGAAAATGCATGCTAGTTTAACGGATAACAGTAATAAATTATATGAAAGGGAAAAAAAAAACACCAAATATCATATTCATCATTACAAGATAATGGTGCAGAAAGACTCACCAAAAAACCTGTAATAACGCAAACCAACGAGGATTCCTCCTTTTGCAATTTTTTTGTACTCCGCATAAAAATCATTGCCAGCTGAACTTTTACCATCCGTGACATTTGCAAACTTAACAACAAGAACATTATCATCTCCTAAAACCCTTTGTAAATGACTTCTAGTCTTCTCCAAAAAAGGGCCCTGAAATGGAGAACATAAAAAAAATAATAATTGAAGGGAAAATATTGTAAAAGAAAATTAATGAGCAAAGCACTTCATGTTACTAAGATTTTTGTAACTCTCAAAAATACTATAGGTCAATCTCCTTCATAAGGTAGCAAGAGAAGAAAGCAAAAGTGTTAAACTTTAAATTTTAAACAGGGATGATAGAATCAGATATGCATAGATAAAAAAAAAAAAGGAAAAAGACAAAAGTGACCTTAGGTAAATGGAATAGACAAAGAATTGATACAACAAAGCTTGGAATTTGGGAGCTTGGCATTTGGGAGCAAAGGCTTAATGGGATTGGCCAAGTGAATTATCCTATTATGGCAACAGGAAAAAAGAAAAAAGACTAAGAAAACTAAGTATTAGCTAAGGTTTTCAATAAGGAAACTGCTGTGCATTAAAGGAAAAAAGGAAGAAAGCTAAGAACAAGAAATTTTAAGTGGTTTGGGAAAGATTATAGATGCTTGTTATCTCATGTTCAAGTCACTGCTTCAGTCTTTTTCATTTAAAAAGTCATAATAGTATGAATTATCAAGAAAGTACCAAATCAGAAATAGAAAATTAAATGTGAATCCTTCCAAATCTTTGAAATGGCTGCTCAGGAATGTGTCTACCCCCCTAGAAAGGCAGATCAGACGACTTAAGCCCATGGAAGAAAACAATCACAAATATTTCTATAAGATTAATAGCAGCCAGGACTACAAATAAGGAGCCAGAGCCAGTGACGGCAACCAAAGGATAAATACACACTTGCAATAGATGTTTGGCATGTGCTAAATTCCAATCTCAAGATAGTTCTGTATCACCATGCATTACAATAAAAATGGGTATGTTTGATATGCCTGTTATAGAGGCTTAAAACTGAGAAATTGTACTAAAAGGCCTTTGATCACCACGTAAAAGCTGTCCACATTCCAGACAATTTGATATTTGTTTTTAGATATGTCAACAAATTTAACTCAAGGCCTTTTGTCCTTTCAATGTAAGTTAACAATATGCATGCACAGAATCAAGGAAATGTAAGAACCTTGAAACTGCAACTCCCGATTTACCTTGAACCTACAACTCCCATTTTCAGAGACATAACAGTGGTATTGATATGTTTTTCCAGACTCCCACTCAGATGACTGCAAGATAAGCGAATGGCAAAGTAAGAAGAAAGACAAAAAAGAGAAAGTAATCAATTGGACAAAGCATCACATGCATGGGAAGGCAATGCCCATATGAAAAAGTGGTCAAATACACATTCCAAACTTTTGAAACATTTTGCACTCCAATCTTAGAGACGACAGGGTGGAAATCAAATTCTGTTTGTTGGACAATCGTAGTTGATACAACCTTCAGACAATTTTCATAGTTCTTTCTTTCTTATTCATTAGAACATAAATGTAATTCAAAATATACTTAAGAGTCAAAGGCAAATATCATTAAAGACCAGTTATGTTACCTGACATCGATCGGCAGGAGCATAATGTTGGCCCAGAGAAACCCAGACCTCTTCCTCAAATTTATCCATTGCCAAATCTTTTAATCTTCGAATTTCATCAGCAGTGATTACTTCTTCCAACCTCTCCCTAGGATAAAAAGATAGAAAAAAAAAAGTCACCTTTTTGTTTTTTTGTTTTTATTTGTTTAAGAAAAGTTAAACTTGTTGAAAGCACTGGAAAATAAGCATTACGAGCCAATGTAACTTAAAATTAGGAAAGCTTTTCTGAATTCAAGCTCCCCTAAAGTCACCAATTGAGGGCTAAACATTTCTCTTCTGACAAGTGAAGAACTTAAAGGACGGGTATCTGGAGTCTGAATAACATCATGTCCCCTTAAATCAACTATAAAACAAACAACCCAGAAAATAAATTGTCAAAGCAACCGTGAAGAGAGAAAGAAATCCAACATTTCTTAAATAAAAAAAATATTTAACCTTGAGAATTCATCATAAGACGGAGAGTTTTGATGGGAGAAGGCAAGGGGCTACAGTCAAGTTGAGAAGAAGAACTTGGTCGTTTGTGAGGGGTGCCGTTGTTGTTTAGTTCTTGGTTGATCATAGCCATAACAAATCCATCAAATGAAAAACGAATTGACGTCCGTTGGATTTTCTCTAGAATCCTTAAAGATACTTCTTCGCCTATATCAGCCAGCGCCCGCCTCGTTGAGGAGGCAAGTGGAGGTTGGTTCTGCTCACGACAAATTCTAGATATTGCTTCTACCACTGTTTGGGGTAGAATCACATCCTCACAAAAGTTACTTTCCATTGATCAAATTAATGTACAATAACTTCCTCAACTTTTAGTCTTGAAAGATGGAAGGCTTGAATTTGTGATAAAACAAAGAGGGTGGAGAAGGTTTAGTTGCAAGATGGCGGGGTTTTATGGCATTATATACAGGGAGGTAAGCAACCATTCTCAAAATTTTAAAATGCATGATTTTGGGTTTTTTCTTTCCAAATATATATCCGAATTATATAAAATATTAAAATTTATGTTTTTTTATTATATTTTATATAAAAACTATATATCATAATTTATATAACATAAAATATATATTTTTAATTTTATTAAATTTATATATTATTTTTATTGAAAGTTTAAATCACATTATTTTTATATTTTATTTTCGTACGATACCCACAATTAAATAAAAGAAAAAGCAAAAGTTCCTCAAGGAGCGCTCCAAAAGAAAAGTAAGGCTTTATAGTCCAAATCATGACCACTCTGATATCCCACATTAAAGATTTTTTAAGTCCACTTTCGCTGGAGAGTACTAAGATTCAGATTTCAGATATTCAAAACAAAATAATAAATAGGCACCTCGGCTACTCTATATATTTATATATATATAACAGACAAAAACCATCGCTTATTAACTGTACATGTTAACATGTTTTCAACATTCATCCTCTATTAATTTCAAACCTTCTTTAATTTCTTAATTTTCTCTTATAATATTATTTTAAATGAAAATATATAAAATTATATTTATCATTAAGAATATGTTAATGAATAATACTTTTCCCATCTCATTTTATTTGTATATATATTATTTTGAAATATTTCAAAATAATTTTTTTAATTTAAACACTCAATACTCTCTTTTTAAATTTCAAATTAATTTTAAAAAATAAAATAGTATTAATTATATAATTATATAAAATATTAGATGAACATCTAAATCCTTCAGTAATATGACATGTATAATGGCCTCTTTAGCATGTTCTTTTTTGGCCATCTTCTTCAGAACATGACATCCACAACTTAACCTCAAAGGAAAGGAAAATACTTCAAATAAAGGTTAAGATTTGAATTATAATGGTGCACTTTACTTTTTCCATCTCATTTTATCTGTTTATATATTTTTTTGAAATATTTCAAAATAATTTTTTTATTTTTAAATATTTAATAATCTTGTGTTTTATATTTTAAATTAATTTAAAAAATTAAATAGTATTAATTATATAATTATATAAAATATTAGAGGAACACCTAAATCCTCCAATAATCTGACGTGTATAGATGGCTTCTTTGGCATGTTCTTTTTTGGCCATCTTCTTCAGAACATGACAGCCACAACTTAACCACTAAGGAAAGGAAAAAACTTTAAATAAAGGTTAAGATTTGAATTACAATGGTGAACTTTCCTTTGTTTTTTTTGTTTTTTTTTGGTTGAAAGTGCAAGTAGAGCTATAAAATGAATCGAATATGGACGAATGAATATATATTTGTGTTTATTTATTTTTGAAAATGTTTGTATTCGATTTATATTGGTTAAAAAAATTAAATTATTTGTTTATATTCAATTGTTTAAATAATAAGTTGTTCGTATTCGTTTAATTAAGTTAAATAAATTCGTTCATGAATATCAAACGAACATATTCACGAACACATATAAATAAATATATTCATAAATAATAAATAAATCTTAAACAAACATAAACGAATCTAAACAAATATAAATAAATCTTAAAATAGGATTAGAGTAAAAAATAAAAATAAAAATTTATGAATATTATTATAAATGAATAACAAATTAATAATAAACGAATAAATTTTAAATAAATTTTAAATAAATTTATTTATAAATATTTACAAACTAAATAGATTTCTTTTTGTATTCAATTTATTTAATAAATAAATATAAATAAATAAAATCCGAATATATTCACAAATAATTCATTAAAAACTCTATTGATTTACACTCTTTTAAGTGCATCACTTTTCTTCTTTACTAGCAAGTAAAGGGATACCACTTCTAAGAGCAATTAAAAAATTGTTTGTCTGTGCATTTACTCTTTATAACAATGCCAATGAGATTATTTGATGGTCTCCAAAATTGATGTATAAATAGGAAAAATAATTAACCACAGTAAAATTCCTTAGTATTTCTAGAAAATTCATTTTACGATATAAAAGAATATTTCATTCAGATGAGAATGACTTTGGATCTGCAACATGCTGCTTCTCAATTTCTTATTTTGTCATTGCCGTTTCAAAAATGAGCTTTCAAGTTATGTAAAAATAGTAGTATATCGACCAGTCCAGTTAAAAGCAGCTTGACGCATCCGAAATTCATAACTACACCAAAATTTAGCTCCGTTAGTAGTTCCAATCTGCATTATTTGCTTCGAAGATCAACATTTTCCTAGAATATTTGCATATCCAGAATGGCAGTGACTGATTTCTGTTGTATACATATTATATAGTTTCATAATATATAACGGTGTCTTCTTGGATAATTCCATATATATACCTGCAAAAAAAAAAATTTTTGAATAACAATCTTGCAGACATTGAATCACTCATTTGGAGAATTCTTTTTTGACTAGCTTTTTATTTTAGATATTTATCAAATTTGAGAATCAAATTTTAATATCTATAATAAAAAATTATTCCCTTGCTCGTACATAACACATTTGGGAGAAATAAAAAAAGGGTTCATTTCAGTATTTTAGATTTGGGCAGCCATAGTTTTAAAAAAGACAAGCTAAAGCCCATCTAAACAATTGTTCTTTAGTTTTCTTAATAGGCTTGTAAAGATGCACAGTAATGAAGAAAACAGGTCCCCACTTCCAGCCCCTTCCTGTCTAGCTCTTGGTCCACTTTTTGTTTCCCCTCAGCTCTTATCCCCAAATTTCTGAAAAAGCTAAAGCAAAAGGGCATGATTTTCTTTTTTTTTTTTTTTGTTGGTAAGAAAAGGGCATGATTTTCGGTTAAAGGGATCGTAATTAAGCAAAGATTATCCAGTTAATTAAATCGTGATTGTCTGAATTTGTAGACGTGGCTATCAACAAACAAGTACAGCATTAATTATTATAGTAATAATTGACTTAACAGTGATGTATTCTAACTTTTTCTATGCTCTAATTAGAACCTGTCCGAGCTAAAACCGAGAAACACTTTGAATGATTGTTGATATAAACGTGACGTGACTTGAGTCATAATCAAACAACGGTTGTCAAGACACGTGTTTGTAGTTAGAGGTGAAACTTTTTGAGCATGGAAAACGAAAAAAAAGGTGACAACTATAAAAATATTAGCGACGATATTTTTTAGGCATTCCGCATCGCGATGTAATGTTATACTCAAATATATTTATACAAATTTTAATTTATCGCTTTAATGCTTATTAGTTCATTCATTTTATTATCATTAATTTTAATTTTATAATTATATTAATTAATCTCATTAACACCATTATTTTAATTTTATTAGAACTCATCTTATTCCTTTTTGTCAATCTCCGAAACAGAAAAAGCTCTTAGTTGAGTTAATAAAATTTTACTTTACTGCCAAACGCCTATAACTATGGTAAATAAAAAATTAAGACAGCAACACAACAAAGAAAAAAAAAGCTTTTAGAAAACCCTAAAAGCTAATAAATCCAAAGCTCTCCCACTGATCACCAACCTTGAGAAGTAATTCATTAAAATTCTCTTGCATGCATGCCCCAACATATTTTATACTATATCTGCTTTAAATAATTACCTTGTTACAAACTTACTACAGTTGTAATTAATTTTAAAGGAAAAGAAACTATACATAATTTTTTTTCTCTTTTTATTTTTGTATGGTCAAAGATTATTGACATTGGTAAATGAAAAAGGAAAAAGAAAAAACACTGAAACCCAAAAGAGTTACAATTATTAATATCTGAAATGATTTCTTAATTGTAAAAAGAAAAAGGCAAAGTACAGTGTAACAACTAACAAACAAGTAATAACCAAGCTTTGTCGGATCAAAAATTCTCACATGAAATGCAAAATGGAAAGCATATGGTTATGATATATGCAAATCAAGTGACTTGGTTTAGCTTAGTTTTTCTGTGATAATCTTCTCACGAGGAAGAATAGGAAGTGTAGAAACAAGATATACGTCGCCCTTTTGAACCATCAGAAACGAAGTCGTCATCATCATCGACCCCATGTGTTATGAGCTGGAGACTCAAAGGCGGACATTCTTTTCTGTAACTTAAGGTCCTTGTAAAACTTGTTTATGAACTCCTCAGCCGCCTTATCCACCTGGCTATCTCCCTCCTCCTTCAAAGGGAAAGGCGAGTCCGTCACTCTCAGTTGCCTCACCATAGGGCTTCTTCCAAACCCTGGAAAAACCATGGGAGACGCCTCCACGGCCGCCTCATTGTTCAACATCTCGAGAACCTTTTGTACCGCCGCAACCGTCGTCACATCATCATAGTGATAATGGGCTGACTTGCCAAAACGGTGGTGGTTGTTGTAGAAATGGTGATTACGGTGCTTACGCTTGTGAGAATAAAAAGGGTAAAAAGCTGGGCTGTTCCTGCAACTGAACTCGTACTCTCTTGGGGAAATGAAGGAGAGATGAGCATCGTTGGATCGGCAACTCAAGGCAGATAAATGGTCCTGGACTTTTTGGTGGAACACGAGGTTGCTTATTGCTTTGCCTGCGTTATATTTACCTTTCTTGATCATAAAATGGAGATCAACCATTATTTTGCTCTTTAATATCCCTGTCTTTAACGTGAAGAAAACTACCCGTACAATGTTCCATAGTTTTTTGGCTACAACTGGTGGGATTGCCTCCGCCTCCATTTTTTTTTTTTACTTTCTAGGGTGACAGAGAGAAAGAAAGAGAGAGAGAGAGAGAGCTTGTTTGTTCTTTTTCTTCGTTTGTTCTTTTATTTCCTAATATTTTTGGGTAATTTTTTAGAGAGAGATCAGAGAGAGTGTTAAAGAGAAGAAGGGATCTTTGGTTTGGACGCAACGGAGGAAGAGACGCAGAGAGCTATATAAAGGGCTGGAAAATAATTATTTATAAATCAAGATCAATAATATAAGCAAAGCAAGAAAGATGGTGGTCGAAAATTTTCAATTCATTTTTTTATATTTAGGGTTGTTTTTCCTTTTCTTGGATTAGAAAAGTTGCACCAGAAATTACTAGAAGGACCCTAGGATGGAGCCAAATTACTTAAGTATATCAATATCCTTAGGGTTCAATGATTAAAGATATTTAGATGTGTTCAAGTCGTCGAAAAAGGGTTTCGCCGTGGACGCTAAGGCGAGCTAGTTCCATAGTCTAGATCACAACTTCAATGGGTTAAATCCTCACAGTCTATAGTTGCTTATAGTTGCATTTTGACCGTCCGTTTTCATATTAAATAGCCCATGGACCCTCTAGCTAACATCAATGTGTGACAACATTGACAAATTATACCTAACCAACTTAATTTGGTGTGAAAATTCAAAGTCTAGTAGCTAAGCTTAATTACGTGCACTATAGGGGATTAGGCTTTTAGTGGTGTTTTTTTTTTTCATATTTAGTGGTGTTTATAAATACTACTAAAAAATTAATTATATTTGTAAAAAACGTCACTAAAAATACCGTCTATATTTGCGTTGAAAAAAAATAATGGTATTTTTTAGAAAAACGTAGCTAACTTAACGGTATTTTTATCATAAAACACTATTAAATTTAAAAAATATTTATAGTAAAAAATGCAGTGACATTGTAATAGAAAACGTCACTACATTTTGGCATTTAGAGTCGTTTTTAGGTACAAATACTACTAAATTAAAAATTTATTTTTTAAAAATTTTCTTTTAATATTAATTATTATCATTAAATAAAAATATTTAAAAAATAAAAATGAACTTAAATTCATAAACTGCATATTATAAATACATAATTTGTTCCAATATGAATGAAACATAAAGTTTAATACATGCAATAATATTCAAATTATTTTAGTACATTAATCAAAAATTTAAAATGTATAAAATTGATGACTGCATAGATTTGGAACACTACTATTTGTTAAAAAAAAAATTTCACCTCGGTCACTACCATCTTTTATTGTTGATGGTTTTCATGCACAACGATATTTTCAAGCAAGATTAAGTCGTTTCATTAAACATCATGATCTAGAAAAACAAACAAAATAAATTTGCAAATATAGATTATAAAAAAAAAATATATAAAACTATTTCAAAATATGCTTTCCTACAGGATAATTTGAATGAATCAATAAATCCACCATTTAACAAGTACAATTTTTTTAGTAATTTAAAAAATATTATGTTGAAAAAAAAACTAAACATAAAATTATTCATGTTTAAGTAACTAAATCAATATTCAATTTCAAGTTTTTCAAATAAAAACTCTATTTCTTTCACTTTCTATTTTATCTTGAATTTTTCTCACAAACTAAACAAAATCAGAGTCAGAACTGCAATAACAAAATAAATTGATAAAAAAAAAAAAAGAATGTTCAAACACTAAAAATTACCAATGTTGAAATGGAACTTACCAATAAAGTTTGAACAGCAGCAAAAATGCAATAAATCAAATAGGAAGTTTAAGAATTTGACCCAATAAATCAGACTAAAAGTTTAGGGATTTGACCTAAAATACAAGAAAACTAATTTGAAATTTGGAAAAATGAAAGAAAAAAAATTGACCACAAAATGATTAAAACTTAGGCAAAAATGAAAACAAAGCAACCCAAAATGAGCAGAAATGAAAGAAAATGAGTAGAAAAAAAAAAACAAAAAGGGGTCTTATGGGTTTGAAATTTAAATAAAATATAGCAGTGAGAAAATGTGATTATTGAAGGTATTTTTGGTTAAAAATACCTTCAATAATCCTCTCTATTTTTTTTTTTTTGAGGTTATTCAATGCGTTTATGGTTAAAAACCACTTTGAATAATCCTTAAAAAAATTGAATGTGATTATTTAAGGTATTTCTAACCAAAATAACTTGAATAATCTCATTCCATTTTTTTTAGAGATTATTTAATACGTTTTTAGCTAAAAACACATTCAATAATCCCCTTTAATTTTTTTTAAAGATTATTCAAGGCATTTCTATCCAAAAATTCTTTGAATAATCCTTTTCCATTTTTTTGAGATTATTCAAGGTATTTTTTTACCATAAAATGCCTTAAATAATTTCTTGCAAAAAATTGAATAGGATTATTTAAGGTGTTTTTAACTAAAAATGCTTTAAATAATCTTCATCATTTTTTGAGAAATTATTCAAGATATTTTCTGTAAAAAAATACCTTCAATAATCTTCTTCCCTTTTTGTTTGGATTATTCAAGGCGTTTTTGGCTAAAAAATGCCTTGAATAATTCCTTACAAAAAATTGAATAGGGTTATTCAATGTGTTTCTGGCCAAAAATACATTGAATAATTCCATTTGATTTTTTTTTAAAGATTATTCAAAGCATTTTTTACCAAAAACGCCTTTAATAATCACCTTAATTTTTTTGAAGATTATTCAAGGTGTTTATGATCGAAAATACTTTAAATAATTTTTTTTTAAAAAAGATTATCCAATACATTTTTAGCCAGAAAACATTGAATGTGGTAATTCAAGTCGTTTCTAGCCAAAAATACCTTAAATAATCCCCTTCTATTTTTTTAGAATTATTCAATGTGTTTTTTACAAAAAAAAAAAAAAACCTTCAATAATCTCTTTTTATTTTTTTATATTATTCAAGGCATTTTCTGATAAAAATACCTTAAATAATTTGATACATTTTTTATGATATTATTCAATGTATTTTTTACAAAGAACACCTTAAATAATCCTTTACAAAAAATTGAATGGGGTTATTCAAGTCTTTTATAGCAAAAATGATTTAAATAATCTCCTTCCATTTTTTTAGGATTATTCAAGATATTTTTTACAAAAAAAAAAGCCTTCAATAATCTTTTTTTTTTTGTATTATTCAAGACATTTCTTGGTAAAAAACGTCTTGAATAATCCTCAACCTTTTTTTATGAAATTATTCAAAGCGTTTTTAGCTAAAATCACATTAAATAATCCCTTACAGAAAATTGAATAAAGTTATTCAAGGCGTTTTTAATCAAAAACACCTTGAATGATCCCCTTCATTTTTTATTATGGATTATTTAAGGCGTTCTCTCTAATTTTTATTATAATTATTCAAGGCGTTTTTTGTTAAAAATGCTTTCAATAATTCTTTACTAAAAACATTGGAACAGTTCAGTTGTTTAGAGTATAAGGCTATTAACCATAAGATCCTAGGTTCAATCTTTCTCTCTAACATTTTGAGGATTTTTTAAGTAGTGCAAAAACACATGCTAGCAGCATTTACATTATAAACGCCTTAAATAATCATTTGCTAAAAATATTGAAGTGGTTCAATCGGTTAAAGCATATGGCTATTAACCATTAGGTCTTACATTCAATCATTTCCTATAACATTTTGAAGGTTTTTTAAATAGTGCAAAAATGCATATTAGTGGCGTTTATATTATAAACGTCGCTATATTTATAAAAATTAAAGTATACAACGGCATTTAGGTCAACAAATGCCATAAAAATATATTTTCAGTGGTGTTTTTAAATTCAAACGTCGCTATACAAGAATTTAGTGATGTTTTACAAAAAAATGTCACTAACCTTATAAAAAAAAGAAATTTTGTAGCATTTATTTAAAAATGTTGCTAAAAAACAACGCACTAAATCTTTATTTTTTTTGTAGTGGTGTTTGGTTTATAAGATTATAATATGATAAGATAAGATGATATTATAAATTAAATTAAATTAAATAATATCCTCTCATCTTTTGTTTGATATGTGCAAAAAATTATGATAGGATAATTTATTTATTAATTAAAATTATTCTTTTTCAAAATTTATATAATTTAAATTATTTATGAAAATTTTAAGGGTATAATAAGATATATAAATTCAATCTCATAATTTAAAAATAATCTTCTACTTTGAGAAGATTGAATCTTTCTCTACCAAGAGGATGATTAATCTTCTTTGTAATTTTATCCATTTATCTAGTTACAAATCAAACACAATAAAAATAATTATCATTCTACTCTATCTATCATTTTATATATTAAATACGATCATTGTATATTATATAGTTAAGGGCTCAACCATGGATTGCCAATGGCATATTTTTTTCTAAAATAATTAAATGGGGAAAGGAATTTTCTATGTAGTAGTAATTGTTTTAGACTAATAACAATTTTTAATAATTTAATACTTTATGAGCATCTTTATACTTTGTTAATAAGATATTAAAATTTGAATTTTAATAATCAAATATTACATTTTTAATAATTTTAAATACACAAAATTACATTTTTGTTTCTCATTGGTTCACTTTAGTCTTCATCATCAACATAGTTTAACACTCTCTATTTCTTAATGGACCATAGTTTCTACTTTGGATCATAATTTTTACATTGGAAATGATTAATTAAGATGAAGTAAAGTGATCAATCTATTTGAGAGTAAAAATAATTTCAACAAAGTTTCATTAGGTTTGCTTTAACTTATGGTTGTGGATTATAATTTGAATCGTATCCAAAGTTTGTAAAGGCTTGGTCGAGAATTTTTGGCTGTTTTTTGAGGATAAATTTATTTAAAGATTAATAAGTTAAATTTGTAAAATTTTTATTAAAAATAAGTAAATAAAAATTATAATAAAAATTTAATTCGATAGATTAATAAAGTTATATATGAAAATCAATAATACGTAAAAAAATTATTAAAAAATTATTTATAATTTAAATTTGATCAAATTTATTTAATAATAAAGATTTTATCAATATTTTCACTAAAAAAATTTATTTAATAAATATATTAAATTTTTTTAAAATTTTACATAATTAATCTTTATGATGAAAAATTTTAATATATCAATTTTAATTTATAATAAAAAATTTCATAAATTTCGTATAATTCTTTTCGTTCCTTAGCGAGACAGAGAGATGAGTACCAAAATGCCAGCCTGACACGGTTGAGAGGAGTGAATAGCTGCACCTACTTAGTAAACGTGGCAGTCTAGTTGAGGTCCAGATGAATCTCTGGCCGTTCGTGCCAATATCAACCTTTTGCATACCTCATCACGGCCATTCAATTTGGTAGCACTAGGGAGGGGGTAGGGTCCCTCTATATTTCTCAACAACGGTCAGCAAAAGAAAGCTTGGATAGACGGCTTTAATAATTGTACGAACAAAAGCTTACATAATTAATTAAAAACCCTAATTCAAGAAAAACTCGAGAACATTGTAAAAAATATATAAGTATTAAAATTTAAAATTATTAAAAGTTATTTTCAAGAATAAATATATGAATAAATTAAGTTAAGTTGGAAATTTTTACTCTGTTCTCTTTAATTATGCCTTGATTCATGAAAAAGTAATGTATTTGTTAATTTTTTTATTTTTTAAAGTTCATTTGGCTCTTCTTTTATTTTCCTAAAGGAATCTATTAGATGATGTGCATGTACTGAGCAATGATAATCATAAGAAAAATGGAAATTTTGAACGTGTGGGTGTGTAACACGCATCTTCTCTTTCAGGCAATTATGGTGAAAATGACAATGTCAGCCAACCTGTACGTGCCAAGTGATTGATTTTGATTCAAAAACTGGGAAAAATTTTTAACAAAAAGGAATTATTGGGCATTTAAATGCTTCCAGAACCCGCATTCCATACTGGCTATCTATGTTGTGGAATCAATTAGATGATCCGACATTATATGATTATTTTACTTTGTTCTAAGCTTTTTTTTGTTCTTGCTTTTGTTTGTATCTTTCTCTTTTATTCTTTGATTTACAAATTTCCTCCTACATATGGAATTTGAGCAATTAAAGCAGCTTTCAAGCTGGGTCCGAAGACATATTGTAAAACTTATACAAGACAAAGAGGAATCCAAAGCTGAGGAGATCTTTATGATGCCAATGTTAGTCAAATTGAGAATGTTTTAATTGGAGGTTTACTAGCTATAACACTATTAATTTGAGTTGCCACTTAATTCTCGCAATTTCAAATTGATCTATGTTTTTTAGAAATTTTTATTTCATGCATGAACTTCACGTTCCTGATAATTTCGATCACATTCTTTCTTTTTCAATAGTTAGTAAAAGCAAATAATTTAAACTTCACGTGTTCTTTTTATCAAGATATATGAAAGGCGCAGCACATTATTTTTTTTAATTCATAATATACATATACAAGAGAATGGTTTAACCATCCTTATGAAACTTTTTATGATGATTTTAAATCAAGAACATGATGATTACTTGAACAGATTCATCCAAACTCAGCTGAAAAGGTTCACAAATTAAAGAGCACTTAAATGTTTAATAAATCAACGAGAGATGGCTGATCACTTTGGTGGGTTTGCTTGAGGGTTTGCTCAGTATATATAAGTGCTTATTATTTAGTATTTTCCGTGGAAGAAGTGACGATAAAAACTTGGAAAATTTTATAATATACAGAGTAGTAAACACGGCACTTGTCGACCAATATTTCCAGAGGACTTGAAAACGACTAAAGGCCGTGCATGCAGCTGCGTGAGAAATAATTAAGAAGACAATAAGTTGATTGGAGCCACTGAAATTTGGAAATGGCAAGCTATATAGCAAAAGCGTGTCAAACGGATGAGCCCTACTGCAGGGATAACCACTAAATCTCTATCCTCCAAGCCTAACACCATTAAAAACTGTTTACATATAATTTATATTTCAAGATATTTAATGCCCTAAATTATTGGTGGTCCGACCCTTTTTTAAATCTGTATTTCTCACTGTCATTTTCTTTGTTATTGATTTCAAAGTTCTTTTCTTAGTAAACTTCAATAAGTTAATGATCTTTTTATGATCATAATTAAACTGCCTTCCCTTCCCTTCCCTAAGGGAGATTTCTTTCCTTTTCTTTCTTTTTTATTTCTTCAATGCTAATCCTCCAAAGTTATAGCTGAGGCTTTGTAATTTCAAATTTCATGGTGGATTTGTCGCTTTATTAGCTTTATTATGTGCAATTCTGGGACCCCGAGTCCCCTCATTCTTATCTCCAGCAATAGCAGCATGATTAAAGCCTTAATAACTTTATAATTTTTTTTATTGTAAGAAAAAATCTGAAGATAAATAAATTGTTCAATTTCTAAAGTCAAGATAAAATATATCATATCTGACAGATTAAAACAAGTGACTGCAAGTCGTCCAACAATAGCAGTATGATTAAAGCCTTAATAACCTTATAATTTTTTTTTTTTGGTAAAAAAAATTCAAAAATAGATAAATTACCCAGTCCCTCAAATCAGGATAAAATCTAACAAGACAAATACCTCAAATCAGGATAAAATCTAAAAATTTAAAACAAATAACTGCAAGTCGTACATTCAAAATGATTCTAACAAATTACCACTGACAGAACTCGAATCAGAAACCTCTTCATAAAAAAAAACGAGCCTAATTAATTGAACCAACCGATTGAACTAACCACTTGTTGATTTAATAACCTTATAATTCAGATTCTATCTTTGGACTCCAAAAGTAATTTCATGATAAATTATTCTAATAAATATTTAAAATGATATGAATCTGAACCCGAATCCACTGGCTCAAGTCTGGTGACGATGCGGAATGTGTGTGATGGACTAGAATTGAAATGGAGTTATGAGCCAACACTAAATTTCATGTTGCCTCAAAGCATTGGTGAATCAAATTATAATTATAAACGAGAACAAACTAAAGGTACAGGCCCCAGTTCTCAGGCATGGCAATACAACTATGGGATACAAGTGTGGCAGCTATCAGTAATTTAGTTACAACTATGGGATACAAGTGTGGCAGCCATCAGTAATTTAGTTAATCAAGTCCCCCTTCAGTACATGAATCACCCACAAAACTCGGATCACTTCCACAAGATCTTTTTATCAGGTTTGACTGCACAAATAAATTGGCCTTCAAGATTGTTACCATTTTATTCAGCACCAATCGAAAGCACAAGCAGGGCCAATCTCTCTGGGCAAACATGTTCCAAGCCAGAAGATTTACAGGAGATTCTCTTCCTCTTTGCTTCTGGAAACTCATTCGGTTGACAGGTTATCTTCTAATTCATCCGGTACATGCAACTTCTCAATTGCAGCCTGTTAAAAAGATTCAAAAGAGAGCATAAGTGTAAAGAACAAAGATCCATTTCTCTTTAGGAAGAAGCAATGATAAAATTACACTTCCATGTACAATGTAATGCCTGGCTAGAGAAAATAATCAGGTAATAGAGAAAAAAAAATGACAAATACGTATCGCCTAACTTTTAACATGATGTGAGTGTTCAAGTCCAAATTATAATGTTCCTGATAACAGTGACATTACCACTTCAGGGTGCCCACAGTTCTGATTCTTTCAAGATTACAGCTTTACAAGTTTCAGACCATCACTATGGTTCTTTATTTGTAACAGCAGGTCAATATATCTTCTCATCAAAACAATCATGGATTTCTAACATTCGAAGCTAGAAAGAAACCAAACAGAATTCTTTTTTTTTTTTTTTCTTTTTGTAGAAAGAAAAAAGAAAGGAAAGATCAAATATAAGCCAATACCTTAATTGTAGCAACATCGGTTGCAGATGGTTTTAAATCCAAAGCAATACCAAAATGAAGCATGGCCTTTTCATGCATGTTACGCCGCTTATAGATTTTACCCATCAAAGCATACACACTGCTTTCACGAGGGGCATACTCTTTAAGTTCCTCTAGAACTTCTAGCGCATCATCAAATTTCTCCAAGCTCATCAGTATATTAGCCTTCTGATACATGGGAAGAGGGTTTTTTCTGTCTGCCAAAATCGCCCTGTCCATTATCTTGATAGCATCCTCACTTTTCTGTAAAATGATTGTGACACAAATTCAAAGAATTCCTCAAGATGACATTGCTCAAGTCACAATATAATACAGTTCAGAAAGTAGCCTGACCTTTAAGGCATGAAGAGTGGTTCCAAGATAAGACATTATAACAGAAGAACATGGATTTATTTGCAAAGCCATTCCAAAGTGATGCTCTGAAAACTCAAACCTCTCTTGACGAAAAAAGATCATTCCTAGACCATACCAGGCATTATAATGCCTTGAATCAATCCTAAGGGCATTCTGGTAGCTCTTGATTCCATTCTCAAAATCCTCTAAAGCGACATACCTAAAGATGAAAATGTAGTGGCAGAACTTTTAATAAACAACTGAAGTTTATAAAGAATGAAGTTGTTATTAACATGTTCAAATATGGAGGAAAAAGGTCCATGGAAACATACTCATGACCACTAAGGGTGTGGGCATATGCAAATCTTGAATTCAGTCGCACAGCTCGATGGAAAATTTTCAGGGCGGTTTCGTGGTCTTTCTGCAAGCTGTAGCAGTTTCCCATGGCACACCTGTAAGTTAATTCAAATATAAACAATAGAACAATGATGATGATTATGATGAATATAAAAACTCTCGAAAACAGCTACCCTCTAGACCCTCAAAGCAGAAACCAGCTGCTAAAAAGAAGGGAGGCAGGTAAATCAATCTCAGGCAAACAACAGTTTTGAGAAACTTGGGATAGAGAAATTGGTAAGATTTATAAATTATTCAAGAAAGAAAAGGAGGTTTCCATTGAACTACTTAACAAAAAATTTGAAAAATCTACCATGATTGAGGAGCCAAGCGGTCAGTTGATATCAGTTCCTGGGTTAAGTAACTCAACTTCATATCTTCCTTTAAATGCTGCAAGAAAATAAGGACAACTTTCAGCAAAGAAATTTAGACATAAAATTAGAGGGAGAAATCAGTACAAGTTTGAATGAGACAATTTCACTTCCTCTAAAACTTTATTTCACAAGTGGAAACCAGATAGAGGGCATCCAGATTACTATAGATTAGTAAAGCAACAATATTTCAAGCAATGTAACATAACTTTTCAAGGATCAAGGTAACTCACATATAGAACAGTGGAGTAAATATCCATTCCTTCTAAACTGTAAGGAGACACTTGACGGGCAAGACTAAATGCCAGATCAGCTTCTAAGTAATCTACCAATTCGAAATGTGCCTTTCCAACCTGCATTAGAAATTTTTAGAAAAATACCTCATAGTCCATGGAATAAGCATTAATTATCTCACTCACTCAAGCATACATGCATGCAACTTGCAAGCACACCCAAGCCATTCAGCTAACCAATCAAATTTAGTAAAAAATGTTTTAAATCAACCTACTTAAGATGTGTAAAGCTATAACTGCTAAAATAGAGAATGCATGCCACTTTTTTCTATGACCTCATCATTTAAAAGATTATTTAAAGTCACAAGTCAAGAGTGCTTGATTAACCTTGTATGAGACAATCCGACATCAAGAGAGGAAGTAAACAGAGAATGTTGCACCAGAATCATTACCTGGGACAGCACCCAGCTTGTATTATAATGCCTATGTGGAAGTCTCAGATAGGCATCCAATGCATCCTGTAGACAGAAGAATTATTAAAAGCATTGAACATTGCCCCCCAGAGATATGAATTCAACTTCTGTTTCTTCAAGATAACCACATCATTACCTGACACCTGTACAGGCAAGAAAGTCTGTAGCCTTCCCCAAGGGTTCTTAAAAGGCATAGCACTTCTGAAGCACCACTTACGGCCTTTGCACCACTAACAACAACCCCACCAACCAGAACAGTTGCCCCATCATGGTCAAGGGATCTAACATTATCAGAAGAAAATGAACTAGAAGTTGTTGATGCTACATTTGCACAAGAATCATCAAATGCCTCATTCCTTATCCCTAAATAATATCAGAATTCAAAGTTTCTAAGCATCAGACCAGGTAGAAAAGAGTAGTTAATTGGAAGAAGAATTTGTGTTTCCATTCATCAGAAGAAAAATTAGCATTTTAATTCAGTTCAATCAAACAACTGTCACAATTAGGTTCCCAAAATGAACACATGAAACAAACTCTATTTCCTACGTGCCCCTCGATCATAAATCAACAAATAACAATTTCAAATTGGAATTTTTTTTAAAGAACTTATAAAAAAATGAAGCAGCAGCATTCACAGAACTAGTGATGAATAAGGAGATTTATAACCTTCTTCAATATTTTCGTTCACCCAAGATTGTCCCTTACGAACTGTCACAGTACGAGGAGCAACAGAACTCAACTTAGAACTTCCAAGGTATTTAGAAGAGTTATTAGTCCCATTTCCAGCTACTGCTGCAGTATTTGCATTTGTGTTGGCCCCAGTATCTCCAGTGAGTCTTGTACTTCGACGGGGACCAGAATCAGAGAATAGCCTCCCAGAAATCTGGCAAAAAAGGATCAACAAACTACTTCAGGTGGTGAAAAAGGAAGCTTCATACTGTACAACACGCAAGCACAAGGATAATACATAAGTACTGGTTCCACTAACTGGACATTGATGTATCAAACTATCACAAGTAATTAAAGAGAACAACTGACACCTGTTTGAATAGCTCCATGTATCAATTTTAATAAAAAATAATGCTGTCATACCCAAAAACTTCTCTGAAAAAAACCATCTTACACAGCCAACTAGCATGATACTGTTAATTTACATAAACAACAGACTACATGTGTAGTGAATGTTCTTTATGACAGAAAACTAAATGGTTCCTCTTTCTGGTTAAAAAACATTTAAAGCAGGTAAATACATATGATTTTTTTTACAATCAAGAAGAACAACAAAAGCAATGACATACAAAGTTACAATTTCTCCACAGCTTTAAACTCCAAGAAGGCATTAAAAAGAAATATTGAATTTACAAACACTTTTACCTTTCGTAATTTTCCTTCATCAACAAACTTTCTTCGAGGTGCTTGAATGGTAGAGTTCACAATGGACCTTGGAGAACCATCAGTATTAACTGTGTTGAGATTGGAACCATTTGGCTGCATATTTCTACACAATGGTGGTGGAGCAACTCCTGACAACTACAAGATACAAAGGAATTCAGGCTGGTAGGCCCTATTTAGATGGGAAAAAAAATGAAACAAACTAAATAACCTCAATGCATCCACCTAAATTAAGTAACTAAACAAAACAAAGAACTCTATAGATAAAGTGTGATTCAGTATTTTGCATTTAATGTCATCTTACCTGTGAAGCCATTGGTGACGGAGTATTATAAAATGACATATTTGAAGGACCACCATTTTGGGGCTGAGAAGCAGCACCACTCAACACAACTGCCCCATGATGATTACCAGGGATACCTCTGAGGTTATTGCCTTGTGTGTGTTTCAATTTCCTAGGACTGACATCTTCTGAACCAAAGTTCCGGGAAGAAACCAAATTATAGTCCTCACTGGACATATGCAAATTTGGGGAAGGCAACCCATGATGTAAGTACTGGTTTTGAATGCAAAGAGCAGCTGCTTCACTAAAAACTACAGTTGCTTCTTTAGCAGCACCTAATATAATCAGACACAAAAGAACATAACAAATATGAATGAAATGTATGAGAACAAGCACTATATGCTACTAAGAACAGAATCACATGAAAAGATAATAGAAATACTGAATGAATACAAGATCAATCCAATCAAAAACAATTTTCTGAGCCATTTAAGTGATACACTATCTATAAGTCCAACTGCAGCAGACAAATATTGAACTAAACCTATGAAGTATATCAGTTCACCCATATTAACTCAAAAATTAGTGAGATCAAGGATCTGATCAACCTAAAATGGTAGCATAGCACTAGAAAGAACATAGAACCACGAGAGTATTCTTTAGACAGACCTAATACACACAACTCCTCGTACGCAGCCCATAGTAAAGGATTTATAGACAATGCCAGCCTAAAATGATGAATGGCACTTTTCTTTCTATCTGTGTACCTGAAAAAGAGATGATACCCAATTAAGAAACTTGAAGATCAAAACTGTTTGAAAATTTTATCCACCATCCTGGTGGATAAGCAAAGGAAAAGTCAAAGCTTAGAGGATTAGATTCCTTCATTATAGAGGATCCCATTAAGATTGTCTATCTCCATCCAACCAGTAATGAGATTAAGCAACATTATATAAAAGCAAAAATGAAGGGATGGCCTTCAACACATAACCATAGCCTTCCCTTGCATTTTATGAAGCCATCTTTGGAGAATAATTTCTAGGCAATATCAAAGCAAATTCCAGGAAACAATTGTAAGTTGTTTCTCCCTAAATTTCTGCAATATCTTCTGGAGTTGAAGATGAAATAACTGAAACCAACCTGTAAATAAGGCCAAGAAGATAATGACCAGCTGCACCATTTGGAATCTGAAATAAAAAAAAGGAAGATATTGCCATCACAAGTCCACAAGAATCATGTGAAAGCCACAGACAACTAAAACATCATCAATACCTCTCCGCCAGCCTCATTAGCAGGACATAAAGCTGTTTCAGCTTCATTAAGTAGATCCATCTGAAAGCATGATATTGCAAACAAGTAGCGGGATTGAGCCGTTTGTGTTCCTTCATATAAAGAAAAGCTTTATTGATGAGCAACAAGATAGGAAATTAGTCATAATAATGGGGTACAAGGCTATAATTAAATATACCAAAACAACTTCAAACAATAAAAACAAGGCAATGCGCATACCCTTTAGAATATGATACGCGGAATAAGCTTGATTGTTCTGCAAGTAGCAAGCAGCTAACAACTGCAAATTCACCTACATTTAAACCAAAAGTTCATATTTTAGATCATTATTCACGGTAAAAGAATCCCACTGGTAAATTACAAGAAAATCGAATTTAGAACCTTAATGTTATTAATTTATCAAGTTCCAATTCCGAAATGTATATCTCCACTAAAACTAAGGGACATAAAAGCCCAATTCAGAAGTAACGCAATTTTCAATAGTTTCCAAAAATTGAAATTTGAAAAATACCCAAATCAGAAATGAAAAGCTAATGCCGTAAACTAAACACTAACACCAATAAAATCCCGGGAAAATGAAAGAAAATTTAGAAACCAATTAACCGCTAACAAGTGATTGAAGCAACGCCCACAGTCGATCTTGAAAATCCCACGAACAGTTTTTCCTTTTTGCTGATAAACGATTTTTAGAAACCCCGGAAGAGTTAAAGTTCTTACTAAAAGACTAGAAAGATTAAAACTTTTTTGGCCAACTGGAAAAAAATAATTTTGAAAAAGAAAAAATTCAAAAAAGATTTTCTTTCTTTTTTTGGGTGAGGTAAGTGAGTGAGTCGGTTACCTCGGAAGGGAACTCAGCGCAGAGACGTTCGCAAAGGAAGATAGCGTTTTTGAACATGAAATGGCGGAGACTATTTTGAACACAGTCTGTGAGTATCGCTTCCATGGCCTTTTCTATTTTGGTTAGATTGATAAAAAATAATAATAATAATACGGAAAAGGGCAATGCAGAAAGAAGAAGAATGAGAGGTTTTCTGGTTTTCTTTTTGGGGGTTTCTATTGGCTTCAAAATGAGGGCGGCACGCGCTTTCTACTCTTTCAAATTCAGCTCCCACGTGACATTGTTTTGGGTAATTATCAGCTGCTACGTGTATTATTTATTCTCTTGGAAACCGGAAAAAACTCTTTTTTAATAACTTAAATTTTAGACAAACAAGATGATATAATAGCAAAATAATATAAAAATATACAACTTAAAATTTTTAGTATGAATTTAACAAATATGTATTTGACTGTTTATCATAACATCTGTGGTTTTTAATTTTTAACCTAATGTCATTTTTAGTCTTTGTTTGTTTGTTTTTGTGCAGTGAGTTCGTACTGAGGGATAATAAACTGACGAAACAACCAGATGTCAGCATATTCAAGAAGCTATTGGTTTTTGATGTTTCTTTCAATGAAATCACTTCCCCGCTTGGGTTCTTGAAGGCCTCCAGCACACTAATGGGAGGAAAGATTGGCCACTTTCATGAGTTGCAAATTCTTGAACTTGGTTCCAACAGAGTACAGGTTACTTTTCAAATTGCTTGAATATTCTTCCTTGCATAAGTAACATGCACATTTTCTGTCTTTTTGGCATAAGATTTTGTCAATTATTGTTTCAATGTTGGAGTAATTTGTCTACTACACCTTTGACTGAAATGTAAGATTGGTGAGTTGTGTCATTAGTAATTTTTCCAGCATGATCTAAAAGCTGTGAAGTGCTTTCTTCAGGTCATGGAAAATTTGCAAAATTTTGCAAACTTACAAGGGCTGTGGCTAGGAAGGGAATCGAATCAAAGTGATAAACCTTTGTGGACTCAGACTCATCAAGAAGATTAGCATATATGCCTATTTATATAGCATGGAGAATAAAGGAAAGAAAAATGAACAAAACCAACAGAGGTATCATCAGTTAAGCTTGGAGTCCATGCACATCACCACATACATGAGTATTTACTAACAAAAAACAATGAAATACAACTCTAGTCAGCAGTCCATAAGTAGTGACAGAAAACAAGATTTAATATAGCATGGCAGTAGAGAGTTGATTATTTAAAATCTTCAAGAGGTAAAATAAGCAACATTCCACATAGCAAAAAGGAAAAGAAAAAGTCTCACCCCAGAAGCTATTTCAGGGATTAAGATGAGCAAATTTAACAGGCTATAGAGCCACATATCATTAGTCAAGAGATACATGGAATATTTAATGTCCTCTTTCGAAACCAATGCGAGATCTATTAGAGCCTCCTTCATTGCCATCTCGCATGGAAGAGCCTGCACTTGCCTTCATCGTCCCACCAGTACCCACTTTTTCCAGGGCTTTCTTACCCTTCTTGACCTCTGTCAAGAACTGATCAAGACCAAATGGATCAGCTTCTTCAGGTTCCTTTTCAAACTCAACTGGCCGATCCCTTGGACCGCTCTTCTCAGAAGTACCAGCAAACGCCTTGTCAGGTTTAAACCTCTCAGTTTTCATTATTTTCTCTAACTGCTCATCTGCTCCACCATACATGTCAGAATCCATGTCTTTCTTTGGCCTATAGAGTGTTGAGAGAGTGGGTTGTGCTGTGAATAGACCCTTGTCATAGATGTTGTACTGATCATCGGTTGCAAATCCAGAATCCATTCCTTTCTCCTGGTTAAATAACCTTTGATCATACATTACTTCACCACCTCTTCCAGCACCAGTAGAAGCCATACCAAGAGCCACTTTTTCACTAATATCTCTATCCCTATCTCTTGTAATCTTACTCTTTTTACCCATGGCAGCATCTTTGGCCTCCAACCTTCTTTCTCTGTCCCTTTCTTTACGACGCTCTTCACGTATTTTCTCCCTCTGCAACCGCTCCTCCTTCTCTTCCTTTGATTCCTTTGGCATGTCCCTTTCTCTATCCCTCACTGACTCATAATCCACTCTCATATCAGTATCCATGGCATTTCTGTCAGATGACATTGGAACAGCAGCTGACTGTGCCACCGCCCCAGTTCTCTCAGAACGAGCTTTAGCAGCTAAAGCTCGCAATTCCTGCTCCTTCCTTTCCTTCTCCTTCATCATCATCTCTTTCTGCACCTTTGATCTCATTGCCACAGCTTCTCTAGCCTTCTGCTCTGCAACATACAAAGCCTCAGACAGCTTTGCAAAGTTATCATTAATCTGAACCTCCTGTAAACCTCTTCCATCAGCAGCAAGACGCTTATCCAGGGGGATGGTATACCCTTTCGGATTCTTCCAATTCGAAATACAAGGTGGAATTTTCCAATCCTGCTGATCCTTCACAGTCACAGGTCGTGGAGGGGAATGCATCACTGGCACCGGAGGAGACCCTGAAGCCTTTGGGACCCTCTTATGCTTAAACTTGGGAGGCTCAAGAGGATCAACAGGCATCTCCACCATTCTAATTATCCTCTCTTTAGCACCCGAATTAAAAGCAGCTGATTGCTGTGAAGGCTTATACTTAATATACTTTGAATCCGAAGACTGTTGAGGAACATTCTTTGGCTGAGCAGCACTCAATCTCACGTTTACTATCTTCTCTAAAGCCGCCTTAGTTTCTTGCATTGTTTCCTCAATCTCATTTTGCCTCTCTTCCTCCTCCCCCTCATCACCACCCCCTTCCTCATTCCTCAAAATCTTCGGTATCAAATCCTTATGCTGCGAATAAACAATCTTCTTCGCATTCTCATTCTGTTTAACTATCGCATCGTAAGCCAAATTCCCATAAGCATCAACAGTCACTGGAAGAATTTTTGACCCGGGTTTAGCCCCTTTTACTCTTCCCATATCAAGAGGGTATTGAGCAATATGTATTTCAGGGAAAGCACCTCCATCTCCAAAGTCTTCAACTTTTCTAGGAACAAATCCGGCGCGCTTCATGTAAGGCGGTACCGGCTTTGCCTTTATGGCCGCGGATTTCTCTTCCTCCGACGAACTAAACCGTTCTTTAAACCATGGGTCATTTGCGTGGTCATAATAAGTCGACGTTGAGTTTTTCGCATCCGGTAAAAGATCCTTTAAAGCCACCATGGTGGATCCAAAGCTACGAGATTTCTACCTACAAATAAACTAATTGAAATTCCATATTAGCTTTCTTAAACAAAGATTTACAAAGCAAAGAAAAAGCCGTTTTGAACGGATAACTTGGAAACCCTATTTGACAACAATAAGAGGAGAAATACCTTGAAAAGCTCTAGGATCGACCAGGCTATTGATTTAAATAGGAATCGAACTGGATGGCTTCCGCTCTTCTAATCGCAGTTCGCTCAGTCAGCTGTTGAAAGGGAATCCTGAGAGGATTAGGGCAAGAGGGTCAGGCGCTATACTAAAGGGAAAAAAACGATTGGTTTAAAGCGGTGCCGCGGTGCGTTTTGGAGGCAGGCCGGCTGGTGATATTGGACCAGGCCCAAAGCCTTTTTAAGAGAAGAAGATTGGGCTACTTTGATTGGTCTTTGTAACCCATGGCCCATGGGGAATTAATGGGCCAAAAAACACAATTTGCATTGTGCAAATCAAATAACATTAAGCCACGTGGAAAATACGCAGCAGTTAACCAATCGCAGGTCCGTCCAACGAACAATAACCTACTGCCACTTGAAAATGCAAGGTCAATATCGTCATTTTGTCCCCTACAAATACCCAATACCGTCATTTAATAGGGAAGGGCACTTTCGTAGTTCCCGCATTGCCCCTTGCCTACGACAAAGTCTTCTCTTTCTTCAGTCCACTTAAAACACACAACTACAGCGGCAACGACAAAGCCCCGCTCCGAACACTCTCTCTCTTTGTCTCTTCGCATCGGATTGTTGATAAGGCCGTCAATGGCGGCCCCAGAGACCTCATCCGCCGCCGTCCCAACGCTATACACCAACAACACCTTACGAAACGCTTTCGGTGGCGTTCTCTCTTTCTTCATCCTCCTTCTTATCGGAGTTCTCGCTTTCTCGATTCGTCTTTTCTCTGTAAGATCTTTCATTCGCCGCGCTTCGAGAATCTTCTAGATCCGATCTGCAATATTTTTTTCAAAAATTCAATTTTCGCCTTTTCTTTTTTTGCCGTTAAGGAAGTATGAAAAAGATATAGTAAAATTGAGCTGAAGATTGACTCGTATATTTTAAATTTTGTCTTTTTCTATTTAATGATTGCCCAATTTGAATCTTCTTCCCTTTGGATGATGAGAAAGTTAGAGAAATATGAAGGAAAATCGATCTTTTGATTCTAGTTCTGCAAATGAGCTACTTACTTATTTGAAATTCTTGCGTCCTTTTATGGTTTCAGGTTATAAAATACGAGAGTGTTATTCACGAGTTCGATCCTTATTTTAATTACAGAGTCACTCAGGTCAGTTGACTCTGTCTCCCCTCTCTTTTACAATTTATTGCTATTTTTAGTTCTTTTATATCTCTTTTCTTATTTTTGTCAATTTTTGGGTATCTTAAGTTACGTAACAAGATGATATGGTTATCTTGTTGGTTTCAGTTTCTTACAAAGAATGGAATATACGAATTCTGGAATTGGTTTGATGATCGAACCTGGTAATTGCTAATTTTGGTAGTTAATTTTTGATGTTTATGGTTTTAGGCTTTTAGCTATGTTATTAATTAGGATTTCTGAATAGAATGTGTTTGTTTTGGTTATAATCAAGGTACCCTCTTGGGCGTGTGATAGGCGGAACTGTTTACCCTGGGCTGACCTTGACAGCTGGCACCATATGGTGGTATGTTTTCCTGAAGGTTAATATGCTGAAAAAATATCTCTATTAAATTTTGCTTTTTTTTTTTTTGGATAAATTTTCCATTACTTGTATTTGACTTGTTTTTCTTTCCATGTTGCATCAGGTTGTTAAATTCTTTAAATATTCCACTGTCAGTGGAGACCGTTTGTGTTTTCACTGCACCTATATTCTCTGCTTTTGCTTCATGGGCAACATACCTTTTGACTAAGGTCCTTATTCTACCTTAATTTTATGTGTTTAGTTAGTTGTTATATGTTTGCTAACTGCAAATTTATTGTTGATATTCTATTGCCTTTTTTCATAGGAAGTTAAGGGTGCTGGTGCTGGACTGACAGCCGCTGCTCTTTTGGCCATGGTAAATCATGCAAGAGATATCTGTAGCATTATCAGACTTCATTCATTCATTCATTATAATTATTTTAAACATCAATTTTGAACAGCAGTGGTTAAACATCATTTCACATTGCACTTTGATATGTAAAACTTATCATTGGTTTTACAGGTCTGTTTATGTGTCTCTGTTGACAATATTTGGCAGTGCCATATTTTTATCAACTTATGGTGTTAATTTGTCTTATGACTGGCATCTTTGTTCAATTCATTTATGTTCTTCTTTGTAGGTTCCATCATATATCTCTCGTTCTGTGGCTGGTAGCTATGACAATGAAGCTGTAGCAATATTTGCTTTGATCTTCACTTTTTATCTTTATATAAAGGTTAGACTTTGATTGAAGTAAATTCATTTATTTCCTATAATTTTGAGTTCTGATGCTTGAAGTATAGTCAGATTTAATTTAGTGGTGAATGGTATCTCATCTTTTATAGATAACCTGCGATTTATTTTGCTTGGAGATTCCTTCCATTAGTTAATTTCTAGTCTGACCATTCACTTCATTATTGGTTAATTGCAGACACTAAATACTGGATCCCTGTTTTATGCCACCTTAAATTCAATTGCATACTTTTATATGGTAGGCTTCTTGTGCTAATTTTTATCCATGTTCTTATTTTCACTCATTGTTTATGTGTTTCAGTCAATTATTTTATTTTCCAGGTCTGCTCTTGGGGAGGATACACATTCATTATTAACCTCATTCCAATGCACGTGCTTCTATGCATCGTAATCGGTCGTTATTCTTCTCGATTGTACATCGCATATGCCCCTCTTGTAAGCATCTGCATCACCCAGGAATTTTGAATACATGGTCAATAAACAACAGGAATATGTGTTTCAGTATGCCATTGAAAGCATTTGTAGGAGGTATTAGATTGATTGGCAACATGCAGAAAATTATAATATTTTATTGAACTCCTAAATGTTTGAGCTTTTTATCCATTATGTAGACACTCGGATTTTGTTTGGGCATGCATTTATGTAGTACATTTGCTTTTAACCTTCACTTGGTCTTTGTGGATAGAAGGTGATTCTACTAATAAAGGTCTGTTATAGCCTTCCTTCTCACTTAATGATGGTGACATGTTTAAAGAATGTACTTTTTTTTTCTTGAATAGGGGACTCAAATCTTTCTGGAAATTTCTACTTGGACTTTCATGATTTTAATTGAAATTGTAAGTGTTTGGCTGCAGGTTGTTTTGGGAACATTGCTAGCTGCTTTGGTGCCAGTAGTTGGGTTTAATGCTGTGATGACATCAGAACATTTTGCATCATTTTTGGTGAGCTGTTTCCTTTATCTTTTTCCTGAATTGTCTGCTGCCTTCTGTATTATCTTGCTTTTCTTGTTGCAATTCATTTGTCTTGCAATCTCAAGTAATTATAGCCTGCTATTTTTAGGTATGGGTAACTGTCAAATTTCAATAACTTAATCAACTGCATCCTAGTCAGTTATTCTTGCTAGCATTTAATGTTGTTAACTGTTCCACTTGAGGAGTTGTAGCTGTATGACCAACTATTGTTTTTTAAATGCCCAATGACATTGCCTTTTCAAGGAGGTGTTTGTGGGCTCTAGAACAGGAGACAAATAAAAGAGGGAAGTGTTTGAAATCTTGTTAGCATATAATAACATCAAGATTTCCTCAATTTCTCACAGCATTATTCAGATTACCGAAATACCTCAAATCTTTTTTCCTTTTTGTACCCCCTACTGTTTCTTCTTCCACCCCCTCTTCTTGTAATTCTTGGTTCATATGATGCTATTCCTTGCTCTTTGATCTAATTTTGTCTACCCCACTTCAGGTTTTCATTATTATCCACGTGGTGGCTTTTGTGTACCATATCAAGGGGATTCTTTCCCCCAAAATGTTTAAAGTTGCTGTGACACTTGTTGCATCTGTTGGCCTGTAAGCTTTCCTTCTCTTCTGTTCCCATAATTTTTGGGTGGAAACATGAAATGATATACTAATGGCAGCTAAGAACAAAATATAGTGAATAAATTGTGATTCAAACTTTCTTATTAATCAATTCAGCATACATTGAGCAACAAATTATATTCTTTGTGGACTTGCTCTGTAAATTTACAGATAAGCATATGAATAAGATGGAGGACTAAATGGCCTCCTATCATTTCTGTTCCCAGGGCAGTGTGTTGTGCTGTGATAGCTGTTCTCATAGCATTAGTAGCTTCCAGTCCTACGAAGGGATGGAGTGGACGAAGCTTAAGTCTGCTTGACCCGTGAGTACCTAATTCATGTTATTATCTTGTGAATCTTCTATGTGTGAAACTGTGAATGAAGAGCAGTGGCAGGAATTGTAGTCAATGATAGTGCAGTCTGATGCACCTTGAAATGAAATTATCCTGACTTCTTGGTTTGGCATGGATCTAATTTGAGGGGCTTTTGTGCTGTGCAAATTCTTAAAACCTAAGATGTAAATGAGATGCCTGAAAACTATTTAATCTGTTAAGCACTAAGTGGGTTACCCATGCAAACAGTATTTTTGTTTTAATACCTTGTATCATTTGTTCAGTCATAGTTGTTCAAAATTAGCCATGTAACTTACTTCCATTTTTTACTGCATTTTGACAGAACTTATGCAAGCAAATATATACCAATCATTGCTAGTGTTAGTGAACATCAACCACCTACTTGGCCATCTTACTTCATGGACATTAATGTTTTGGCATTCTTGGTTCCAGCTGGTATCATTGTAAGTCTCAAGCTTTTGGAACCATTTTGGCTTTTTTGCCTGTAACTTAAAAAGTTTATGCATTGTAACCAATAATTTTTCTATCCCTTGTTGGAAGGCATGCTTTTTGCCTTTGTCAGATGCAAGCTCATTTGTGGTCCTTTATATTGCAACCTCTGTTTATTTCTCTGGAGTAATGGTAAGAGGAATATGACACGGCCAACTTCAAGTCATTACACTCCAACTCTCCATTCCTGTGCCCTAATAATGTAGATCCTCTTATGGTCTAATTATACAGGTACGCTTAATGCTTGTGCTTGCTCCAGCTGCATGCATCACATCCGGAATTGCTCTCTCCCAAGCTTTTGATGTTTTCACCAGATCAATTAAGTTTCAGCTACCTGGAATATCAAGCAATGCTGAAGTTGATGTGAGCAGGCTCTATTTATCCAACTAGACGTTTATACTCTGCCAATCATTTGATGAAGTCATATAGCTATAAGACTGATTCATTTCTGCTGCTTCTGATAATTAAGGCAGGGGAAGCTAGTTCTGCTATTGCTGAAGCACAGAATGATGCAGTAAAGACAGAAAAACCTGAGGAGACATCAAGGGATCGACCCTCAAGGAAGAACAAGAAGAAGGAAAAGGAACCTGTGGAAAAACCTTCCACCAAAGCCAAAGCGAAAGCTGAGAAGAAGAGGCTTCTTGCTTTACCTTTGGAGGCATCTGCGATTTCTCTTCTCCTACTTGTCTTGCTGGGAGCCTTCTATGTGGTATTGTTATTTTCCCTTTTCTATCCTATGATTGCTTGTGTTTGCCTGTGTTTTCATTATAGAAGTTAATATATCACTCGGTAGACCATTATCACTAGGTAGACTGTTGTGGCTATGATATCACTCAGTTAGCTTTTCTCTTACCTTCTAGTTGGATATATCTTATCATGAGCTGGTTGTAGAACCTGCACTAGGTATATAAGCTCACATTGGAAGGATGGGAAAAAAAACAAGAACAAAGGGATTAAGTTGTTGCAATTAATAAAACAGACACTTCCTGCTTTTCAGTGATCTCTATAGGTTTGAAATGCAACATTCATTAAGTTTGGATTAGCTGTGGCATTAACAGGTTGCCAATGACAGAGTCTGAAGAATGTGCTGATGGATGATATAAAACATATGAAATGTTAAAGTAACTAGTGTAAAAATTAAAAGTTGCTCTGTTTGAAATATATATCTCAATGGGAATTGAAACTTTGTTACTATTTCTTTTCCTTTTTTCTTTTCAATGAAATTTCCTTGCATACCCATTTCTTGTTTGTTTCTTTCTTCTTGTTTTAATTGTTAAAAGCCTCACACTGTTGCACTTTTCTTTGCAGGTTCATTGTGTTTGGGCTGCAGCAGAAGCTTATTCAGCCCCCTCAATAGTTTTAACATCTCATTCACATGATGGTCTACATGTTTTTGATGATTTTAGAGAGGCTTATGCATGGCTGCACCATAATACAGATGTTGATGATAAAGTAAGTTCTCTATCTGGTATTTATCCCATCTTAGCTTTTCTAGATTTCAAACATATTTTATTTTCCAGCTTTGGAATGTCAATTTAGGCAGCCAGTCTGTTGGGCAGGAAGTTTTTCTTGATACCTGTATTTTTGTAGAGTAAATATTAAATAATGGAAAAAGAGTATTTCTAGTTGTGTGGTCAATGTTGATATGTTGAGCATATAATGTGTTGTCTCCGATTCCTTATTGGTGATATTTTTTGCTTATTTATGTGTTTTCCTCTTATTATTTCTCGGATGAACATGTTTTGCATGTAGCAGCTTACTGTTTTGTTGAATATAACATATTCTAACCTATTTAATTGCCAAAAAAATGTCTAGTTTCACAGTGCTAACTGACACTTCTGGCAGGTTGCATCATGGTGGGACTATGGTTACCAAACCACTGCTATGGCTAACCGCACGGTCATTGTTGACAATAATACCTGGAATAATACTCATATTGCAACTGTTGGTACTGCAATGTCTTCTCCTGAAAAGGCAGCTTGGGAAATTTTCCACTCTTTGGATGTAAAATATGTTCTCGTCGTCTTTGGAGGTGTGATTTCTTCTTTGTTTACTTGAAATATGCTGTCTTAATATATTATTTTTCTGATGATTTACTAAACTCATCAGGTCTCGTTGGCTACCCCAGTGATGATATTAATAAGTTCCTGTGGATGGTTCGAATTGGAGGTGGTGTTTTTCCTCATATCAAGGAACCTGATTACCTGGTAAGTTTTCTGTGCTGGCACTGCTTTAAAAAATACACCCTTCCATCTTTTTGGTCTTTCTTCCTTTTTTTCAAAGTCTCAAATACAACAACAACAACAACAAACAAAACCTTATATCCCATAATTTTAGGGTCGACTGTATGAAAGGTAAAAAAATGAATTATGTTATGTCGTAATTTTGACTCTTCTTGCATCACTTATTTCTATTAAAAACAATATTTTCATCTACTTAACTTTGATATCATTTCTTATTATTTGCATCCACTTCTTTGGTGGTCTACTTCTAGAAGTTTTGGTCTCTCTTAAATCTAGAACCTCATTTCTCAAATATGCTTGTCTATATTTGGAAGTTAAGCAATAAAGATCTCATTTTTCCAGAAAAATATCCTTTACTTTTTATTAAGTATGATGAGGTTTGTGCTAGTCAAACAACAAGGGCAAAGTTAGAACAGAATTAAAATCGTGAATGAAAGATAATTATATATTAATATTATTATCTTGAAGTTTGTGCTTGTCAAAAAAGCTAACTGTTAAGGATAAACTAAGTAGGAATTGGTGAATAATATTTTTTTGGGTTTCTTAGTGATAGAATGTTACTGCACTGAATTAAGACTGGATAGTTTATTTTGCCTAAGAAATTCGACGATACTTAAAGCTTCTTCCTGACTCAGTTATTTCACTCATTATAATTATTAATTTTTCTGTAACTTGCCTTATGTCTATAGAGAGATGGTCAATATCGGATTGATTCCCAGGGCACGCCAACCATGCTAAACTCTCTTATGTATAAGCTTTCGTATTACAGGTCTGTTGCTGTTAACTTTTTAGTTTATATGTGGTTTTGGTCAGTTTTGTTCTTAGCACAAGAACTTCATCCCATAATTCCACATCTACAGGTTTGTTGAAACTGATGGGAAAGGCTTCGATAGAGTTAGGCGGACAGAGATTGGAAAGAAATATTTTAAACTCACTCATTTTGAGGAGGTTAGATGATCCTAATTTTCATTTTATTCAAATAGCACATGCAGATCATGGAATTTTGTCAATAATATTTGTTCAAATAAGTTCACCACAATTCATGTGATTATTCGCCTAAAATGACAAATCTTGTGACATATTTTTGGAATGTGAGAAATTTCCATCTTCTCTGGCACCACTCAGATTCGTTGATATTTGACTATAGAATTCCTAGGATGTTGATATTATAGTATACATGGCGGATGAGTATGATTAATTTTTCTCTACTTAAGTATTTTCCTGATAAGATTTCTCCTTTTTTTTTCTTTTTTTTTTTGGTCAATTTAGGTATTCACAACTCATCATTGGATGGTTCGGATATATAAACTGAAGTCTCCAAAGAACAGGATTCGAGGAAAGACAAAGAAATCAAAATCGGTACATATAATGGATAGATTATCTTAAATGATCCCACACACACACAAACACACACATAATGGTAGATTCTTCCTTTTGTCTTGTGTGCCGTAAGATCTAGTCTGATGTTTACCTATATGTCGTTTTTAATTTTATGTTTTGGCAGAAAACTGGCTCGGCAAGCAGTCCAAAAGGTAAAAAGAAGAATCCATAGCACTAGGAAACACAATATTTATAACAATGGTGAAATTATCTGTAACTCGATAGAACTGTAAGCGGGAAGCCTTTAAGAGGGGATTATTCAGGCAATGGTAGGTGATTTTTCTTAGAGAAATACAATACAATCAAGTCAAAACGATTTTGCAGGCTTCGTTTGATCTTTGTTATCTGTACTACATCATCATCATAATGTTTAATCAGTTTTCGGGGGGTCAGAAAGCACAAATCAAATTTAGCATTTTGGTGCCATATGTGCTACAACTGGGAAGCGGGCGGCCTTTTATGGGTAAGATATAAAATTTTTCATGGGTTGAGATATGTTTACTTTTGTTACAAAGTTTTTCTAAATATAAATTTTGTTATAATAATTTTGTCAATATATGATATTAAAGATGTATTTGGTACATGACACTATGATAAAATAAAATAAAATATTATAAATAAGATTAAATTAAATAATATTATTTTATCTTATGTTTGATGTGTGTAAAGATTAAAATAGAATATATAAATTATTAATATAAATTTTAAGGGTATAATAAAACATGTAAATTTAATTTATTGATTAAAAATATTTTTTTTTATTTTGAGAGGATTAAATAATTTTATATCAAAAAATGATTAATTTTTCTTATAATTTTTTTTTAGATGTAAATCAAATATAATATAAGATAATTATTATTTTATTCTATTCATTATCTTACGACTCAAACATGATTTAAAATGATTGTAGAAAAGTTATCAAGTTAAAATTAATTATTTAATTTTTAAATTCAAGAATATATTAAAAATTAATGTACAACGCATGGGTTAAAAAAATCTTTTATTTTTGGTAAAATCCATTATTTATTTATTAAGAGATAGAAATGATTGATTTTTATGTTATGAGATTCAATCAATTTAATATGCCATTAAATCGATTATAGAGTACTTTAAAACATAGCCTAAATTACAATTTTTTAAAGTTATATTCATAAATATAATTAATTAAATAAATAATTATTACATAATAATTAAATTATAATAATTAAATAATCAATTAAGAATTTATAATTTAACTAAATAATCAAATTCATGTATAGTGAGATTTGAATTTAAAATTTTAAAGTTTTAAAATGTACATTTTGTTTGTATCATTTTTATATGTGCCATCACTTTTGATAGAACAATTTAAATTGCATTAAGTGTATCTTAATGCAAATAATAGAAAAAAAAATGTAGTATATTTTAATGAGATTACTATTTACTATATGTCAAATTCTACTCCAAGAAAAAATTTCAAGAAAATTATATAATAAGTTTACCGGCCAGTGTCTTAGTACTCTACTATTTTTCTAGTCATATTCCTTTGTGTTTCATAATGTAATATTCATGTTTTTATTTCCATCATTCTTGTAAAATTATATGCCCCAGGTTGTCATTAAAGAGGGAGAGATTTTAAGGGTAATTTATGTAAATGGTTCCACCAAACTTCCTACTTTATACTTCTGGCCAAGCCAATGCAACAATCTCATCTCTTGGCTGCCATTGGCTGTAGGCACCGCGAAATTTCCTTTGCTTAACTGTTTTGGGAGTTAGTAAATAAAGTTGCTTCACTTTAAGAAGGAAACATTCACAATGATAGCAAATTGTAGAAAAACTTGAAGAAAAAAAAACCTAAATGAATTTCATTTCATTCAACAAGCAACACGATTTTCCTTACACACGGTGTTAAACAATCGTCACAAAAAAATAAATACAAGTGCCAATTCATTGAGAACAGAAACCCTTTCCAATTTTCTCAATAAGTTATCAGACCTTTATACTTTTATCTTGCAATTCTGGTTTTTACTTGTGGGGGAATAATATTACAAATGGTCAGAAAAAGAAAAGTAATATTATATTTATAAAAAAAAAAAAAAATTGGTGAAGATCCTCACACTGCTTTTTCATCAAATGCCTTGTAATGTTTCATCTCCAACTCCATGTGAAGCAGATAGTGATGATGTTGAAAAACCAGCATCCTTACCCATCCCAGAAGTCAGACTTTAACTGTTGACCAAGGAGCATATCCATTATTCTTATGAGGTTTCCACACCAGGTTAAGGTCTCAAACAAATAGAATCCAGCCAGCAAGATTACTATACACAGGAGGTATAACTTCTCTAACAAACATCCCCATCATAGGTATTGTACTGAGGCTTTAATGCCTATTACTCGACAAACTTGGGAAGCTACATGAATCACCCCAAGCAGTTTTACCTAAGAAATGCAATAATGATTGTCCCTTTCATTAGAAAATTTTTAGAGCTTCTTTGGCAAGTTGTAAGTCTTCTTAAGGAACTTAGCTGCTGCCTCATCACTCCGATGACACAAAACTCGCAAGAGTGTATTTGGCTCAGTTGGACTCCACTGACCGGAAGTTGGTGGCAATGGAAGCTTGGATTTAGCAGAACCGTAACTCTCTAGAGTCATATATTTGAATTGCTCAATCAAGCTGTCAGTATCAGTATGAAATAATGGGAGGATGGCTTTAACTGTGGTTGAAAACTTTTCTATTAAATCAGCTGGAAGGCCATCACCATTGGACCAAAATAAATCAGTCAAGCACTTAAAGTCCTCTTCTATTGTTTCAGAATCTTGCAGACTGAAAGCACGAGAAGGGCCTCCAGCAAGTAAAACCAGCAGGAGACCATCAAAAGAAGCTTTCATCACTTCAGTAATAACTCGTGTTCTGACTCTGTCATGCACGGTTAATGAAATGACCTCCAAATAGTGCTCAAGCTCCTGAAGAAAAGGTTCAATCCTAGAGGATGAAACTTCCCCAACATACAAGCCATCCCAAAGGACATGACTTAGATCATGGAAGATGACCTTATATGCAGTTGCCTCACACAGTTGCTGGATCCCTTCCACACAAGCAGCAACTGAAAGTTCAAATGCTTTCCCCATCCCTTTGGCAATATCGTCCGCATGAGTGGATTCAGAATTTCTAAGATGGGCAATTGCCCTTTTTGCCAAGACATCCATCTCTGTTCGAATATGTTGCAGAGTATTAATACGACAGCATAGCTGAGGTATCCCAAAAGAGCCCTTTCCAGTTGTAGTCCCAACCTGAGATTTTCTACTCTGCGCCTTTTGAAGCTTTTCCTTTTTCTTCGATACACCAGGAAACTTTGAGCATGTTGAACATCTAGTCAAAGCAGGCATTGAGGGCACAAAAGTACTTTGGGTCCCTGTAGATCAAAAAATAGTGCATTTTCCTTTCACTTTAAGTCAAAATTGATAACTCCAGAAAAAAGAAAAAAAAAATCCATGCATTGGTCTTCTCTAGGTTATGTGATACGTACCACAGCCAGACTTTGCCTTTGATATATAATGTTGAAGACATCTGTCAATACCGATGGTTAAATCAGGAAGCAACGTAGCATGCATAGATATTGGTAACAAAAAGAATGCTTCTAAGGCTTCATCTACAATTCGCAAAACTTCAACAGCAGAGGGAGCAAAGTGCTCTTTATTTGCTCGTGGATCCCATACCTACAAAGAGATGAGAAGTAGACATGCTCTTCTAATTATGGAAAGAGGAATAATATCTCATAGCCTTGAAAAACACAGAAATATATTTCATCTCACCAAAACCAATTTCGAGGTTTTAAAGAAAAAGAACAAAAGCCATATACCTCTTGTTGCAGATTCCTGTCAACCCATTCCTTCAGTCTGTCTAATCTAGTCTTTATCCATGATTTCACCAGATTGGAAATTACAGATTCAGCTTCATAAGGAGGCATCTCCCTAATGATTGACTTTCCGCCATCCTCACTGTCCACTGAATTTTCGACTGCAATTTGCACCAGATCTTTCTCCAATTTGTCAGCAGCTCTCAGCACCTGTAGTATATCTGGTGTCAATTCACCAATGCCAGAAACAAATTGCTTCAGCTCATTCCCATAGCAGGAATGAAGAGTGGCTACAGCTACACCAGCTGCAAGAGGATGCCACCTCTTTAATATTGGACTAAATATTGCCTTCTCACTAAAAGCCAGTGTACTGACATCCTGTGCCAGGATGGAAAGGAAAGGAAGCTGATTTTGCTGGTTCTTAGATGACCGCTTGCTAGACTTCACCTTCTCCATTATCTGTCTAAATACATATCAACAGACACAACCTTGAGTCATCTTTCAGGCAGAAATTTACAGACAAACTTGGTCTAAATACATATTTCGAAAAGAGAAAAAGAGCTTTGTCTAAATATATAATGTAAGAGCTAATAAAACAACAAAGATCATGGTTCTGCAAGAAGAAAAGCTATTCATCAAGAAAAAAGATGCTCGGAATATAAAACACAATAGGAAAATTTTCATATTTAAGATGCCTGCAAAAAGTTGCAACTACTAAAAACCTGTATACCAAACAGAAAATGTTAAATTTATGTCATGATATTAAACTATAGGAGCCTTCATATCTTGTAATGCTCATTCCTATGTAGGGACATTATGCTGAAATATTGGAAACCTGCCTGAACAAAAGCAGCACGCAGTGATGATCTTATGTATGTATCAACTCTCTCATGAGCCACATCAATTTCCTTTCTTTTTCTATGATATTCATGCGAGATATCTTCTACCATTATCTTTGCTGATAGAACCCCCATAGAAAAAACACATTCCACTGACTCAGTGTTATCACTATGAAAATAATTGTGGTAGGCAAGAAGCCTTTTCTCAGCCCAACCTAAAATTGCACTCAAAGTAGAACTCAATATCTTGGAATAATCTGGATCTTTCATTGCCTTTGCATCCTTTTCAACCTCCATCAACAGATTATTGGCAGCGAACAACAGATCACCTTCCACTTGACCAGTTGTCACATAACGGTTAAACAATATCCACAAGAAACAAAGATTATGCAGCATCTGGTTCATTCCAAGGACTACCCATGTCTTTTTTATGAGTTCTAGAACCTCATCGACCTCTTCAATAACAGACTTTTCATCATTAACATCAAAACAAGCTTCTAAAAGCATTTGATAAATTCTTAGATTCAATGGGAATCCATCTGCCCAGTGGCTGGTCTCAGAAACAGACCCATCAAAATTTCTACAAGCAAGAGATAAAACTATGCTCCGAAGGGATTGCATGGATTCATTGTTTTTTCCAGTCTCCAAGGGTTTCTCCAAGGCCCCACGGATGATCTGTCGTAATTGCTCTGGAGCAGTATTGGTCTTGTCTAAGGGCAAAAGAGGATGCAAAAGAAGTCCAGCTTCAAGAAGCTTCAGATTTCTCCTCTGCCAAGCTTCATATTCTCCCTGATTTGGAAAATCCGAAAGCTTGGGTTGCTGCAACATCTCAAGTGGCAACACTATTGACTCTATCCGTCTTCCAAGCTGATACAAACACAAAAAAAAAAAAAAAAAAAAAATCTAAGTATTAATTATTATATATATACTGTAACAAAAATCACAAAACTTGTCCACCAAAAAATCATAACAAAATTCAAACTCCATAAACATTTCCAATAATCAACAATTGAATTATCCATTAGCGTCCACCCACTACCCATCACTCCAGCATACATTATCAATATGAAATAAAGAGTCTTTTTTTAGCCCAATTTTCCTTTCCATTTAACTATAAAAATAAAAAAATAAAAAACGAAACGCCAAAAAAAAAAGCTGTTGCTTTTCATAGTAAAATTAAAAGAGAAAGGTTACTATGCAATTTTTTAACAAACCTGAGCAGCAGCAACTCTCAAGAGAGCTCTTCTGACCCTGGAATCTGTTTGCTCTGAAACTCCCATCTGAACCCTCAACAGCTCTCCAATCGTAACCGCCTTTTTGAATCGATCCGAGTCCGACTCACCACTCATTTTCCTCCTCCGAGAAGATTTCAACCCTAAAGCCTTCTTCACTTTACTCGCCGCCGTCGACGTCAACGACCTTTGCAACGACGCCGTCGACGTCACCGTCGGCGTCGGCGTCCTTTCCGAATTCCTCTCCGACTGCGATATGAAAGTCAAAGGTTTCCCGCCCGAACTCCGACAAGCTCCAACCAGAATCTCATAAGCCGTCTCTCGGAGCTCCGATTCTGATAAATTCGTTGCCAACTCCCCGAAGGGACACGTCAGCGTTTCATTGCAGTAACTAGGCATCGCCGCCGCCGCCGCCGCCGTCGTCGTCGTTTGTTGCTTATGGTTGTGTCGTTTGGCTTGACTCGAAGTTCTGTCCCTTAATCTCATCGACATGTTAAAATTTTCTGCGTGATAAAATAAATTAAAGAGAACATAAGAATAAATCAAATGGTCCTAAAGATGAAGGTTTTATGGGAGTAGTTTCTTTACTGTGGATTTTTTTGTTCAAAACTGTGGGTTTTTTTTTTATTAGTGAAAATTATTGCTTCACTTTAAAGCAAACATAATGAAATTTCTGGGAATGTCATTAAAGAGAAAGAAAAAAGTTAAAAAGGAGAGAAATAGACAGAATTTTGGAAAGTGAAAGGATTTGGCTTCCTTTTCTGTTTTCTTACAGAAGAAAGAAGGAAAGAAAAAGTGTTTGGATGAGAAGAAACGATAGAAAATGATTGTGCTCTTTCTGCGGGGACAGCCGAGCTGAGTGGGAAGAGCGTGCGTTAGACGGTTAAGTTTTGAATTTTTTTTTTTTTTGTTTAATTTATAATTATCCTTAAACTTATTTGATTGAAAAAAATATTATGTACGTAAATATTTTTAAATATTAATATGTTAATTAATTCAAAAAATAATGGATTTTATAAAAAAAATGAAGATAATTGTTGATTTTTTTATTTCATTTGAGAGTCGAAAAGATTTTAAAAAATAATTTAATTTTAATTTAATAAAATTAAAAAAATAGAATAAATAATGAATTAAATAATTTAGAAATTATATGTAAGTACTAATGACTTACGATTAAAATATCGACCACGTTGCCACTAAAATATAACAAATTTGAAATTTAATTTACAGTTAATAATGTAAATAAATTTTTTTAGATTCAAAGTTAATGTCAAACAACAAGTTTTTTTTTTTCTTTTGGTGAGTTGAGAATTGAGAAGGAAGAGAGGAAGTTGATGAGTGATGTTTTGGTAAGTTCTTATTTCTCTTTTACAAATCTTTTTAATATTGCATTGATAACGGTGTTGTAATAACTTTGAAGTGCATGTGTGACCTAAAATTCATCACAAATGGACAAACGTAACTATTGCCATGCCTTTGTTTCAGATATGTATGATAATTTTGTTGTTAGAGTGATATAATTTGTGGCCATCTTCTACTTCCTTGGATGATCTAATCTTAATTAGTTTTTTTTTTGTTGGTTTTGTACTTTTGTTTTGGATGAGAAGTTTGAAAGTATTATTAATTTTGTTTGGTGTGGTGTTGATTATAACACAACTAACTCAATGATTATCCGATTGGCCAAAAAAAAAACTCAATGATTAGCTCACGAAATTATTTAGCTCTTCAGTTGCAAGAAGATTACCTGTCAGAATATATTAGAATTATAATAGAAAAAAAATATTATCAGTTTCTCAAATATTTCACAATGTTTTCTTATTACCCAAGTTGCATTTTTCTTGCTGCAATATGTAATCTACTTTGTGAATAAGTCTCTGTTGGCAATTCAACCTGAATTTGTCAGATTTCAATTTTGATTCAATCTTCTAAAGTTTTATTATTTTTTTAAATCAAGTTTTAAGTAGAGTTGGATCAAATTGAATTTTTTTTTTAAATCAAAATCGGATTTTAGATAAATCTATCTTGACTTAATTCAATATATATATATATATAATTTATTTATTATTTATTTAATTTTATATTTTATTTAATTTTAAATTGAATTGAATCGATTGTAATTTTATGCATATATAAGATCGGTTGAGTCAAGTAATGAAAACTAATATTTTAATATCAGATCAAGTATTTATTATATAAAATTGAATCAAATTCGAAACAAACAAAAATTCATCTTGATTCAACATGTTATTATTTTTATCTGTCATGCATACTTGTATCTCTTAATTATATAAAAAAATCAAAATTATGATAATTATAAACCGAAAAAAATACCTAAAAAGATTTTAAATTCAATTTTAAAAATTGTTAATTTATCTACAATTTATCTACTTTTATATTTATAAGACCTAAAACATTAGGCCTCAAACCTTCGGCTACCTCCCAAGCACCACCAACATTATGCCATTCGAGCATTGTTGGCATATATCCTATTTGTTTGTTTTATGTGTATATATTTTTTTTAATCAAGAAGGTGGTTTGTTTAAGCTCCAAATGGGTGTTATTAAGCGTTAATCAAGTGCTTCATTATATAATAATCAGCTGGTTTTTGTACTTAGATTAGATAATTACAGCACCGGAAAGACTAGTTCAAAATATCCCAACAGCTGCAGGCAATATCAAACGTACGATTATGACATTTAATTTATATATAAATTCAAACTCCTTTGAGCAACAAATTCAAATGAAAGTATGCAATGGGATTTAAATTATTTTATCAAACTGTTTCAGTGATGAATCCCACCCCCCAAATTTATTAAAAAAAAGAATCATGTCATAAATTTAATATGCAATGTCACACATAAAGTTTTATTTAATTATGCACTCCACACCTCCAACAATCATTGTACTCACACATTAATGTATTTTTTAAATCCAATATGCAATGATTGGTTTCTTCCAAATTAAAACGTTGTATCATTAATATTAATCATTATATTATATGTAAGTTTAATTGTTTAATTATGTTATAATTTATTATTTATTTAATTAATTATAATTTAATTATAATATAATAATTTATTATTAAAAAAAATCACCTGTTTTAACTAGCTCTTTTGATGTTTTAATAAACATCACCAAATTCCCTCTGCTTCTTAAATTTTTTGCATCAAATGTTAATTAAAATGGTGAGCTTTTATTATCCATAGTAATGGGAAAAAATTTTCAAATATATATATTTTTATATATATTAATAAAATAACTTTTAAATAAATAAATTGTTCAATCTATAAAAAAAAAAAAAAGCATTGTACATCGAGATTCACAAGATAGAGTAATCGAAATTAACACAATGTGAGATTTTGATTGGCCAGCCCATCAGCAAACCTTGGGCAACCCCGTCCAACTAACGTGAACTCCATAAATTCCCATTTACCGTTGCATTTCCTTGGATCTAGTTACCGCATAACGGTTGCTTTACGATGAATTACGCAGTTTTCCCGCCAAGATATTTAGTCTTCGGAATAGATAACTGTAATTCAAAATTTTGAAAACCCTGCCAAGAAAAAAAGACAGCGAAAAGTTGCGCCAGGCCATTGATTATGTCATGGCCATTTTAGGATTCAAAGGGTAAAATGAATATTTTTCTTTAGAATATAAATTGCTTATCAAATGAGGGTAATTTAAACAATTTAATTTAGTTAATATATTAAATTAATCTTAAATTTAAGATTTTATGTTAATTCAATTCTCTTCACTTGTTGACATCAAATCATTTTTTCATTAATGTATTGACTGTTAACTCAATTTGAGCTTATAATATTAACTTTGATCTTATTACTTGAAGTTTCGATCACTTAAGATTCAATGTCCTCGTCGCATAAATATAAATATCTCTTTCAAATATTTTTAGAATTTTAATTTTCATACTTATTTTTGGCATTTTCCTCTTAACTTAATTATCGAAGCACACATATGAAGAAAATCTTTATTGACCTCCATCCCTCCCTTGTGTTTTCAGGTTTTTATCGTCACAGACAGTTCGATATCTACAGACTCACTGTACATCGGTGGCCAAACGACCGTTGAAGCGTATACACTGGCTCGTGGATCTTCACTATTTTTCACCAAATGACAAGTTTCTACGCAACACTCTCCTCCAATTTTATGTGAAAGCTGGGAAATTTTCAGACGCTTGAAACATTTTCGATAAAATGCGTCAAATTTGGTGTTATCTCCTGGAATGCAGTGCTTTCTGCGTGTGCAAAATCTGGGTCTATTGGGAATTTGAGAGCAGTTTTTTATCAAATGCATTTTCGTGATTCTATTTCGTATAGTACTGTGATTTCAGGTTTGATTGGAAGTGGGTTTTCCAGTAAGGCGCTTGTGGTTTTCGTGAGGATGAATAGGGAGGGATTTAAGCCTACTGAGTATACTCGTGAGTCTGTTGAATGCGTGGTCAAGGTTATCGAATTTGACGAAAGGGAAACAGATTCATTGTGGTATCCTTGATGGTAGTTTGGGAATGAATGTTTTTGTTTGGAATGCTTTGACCGATTCGTATGCTAAATGTAGCAAGATTGATAGAGCACGGTGGTTGTTTTATAGAATAAATAATAAAAATGTAGTTTCATAGAATTCATTGATTTGTGGTTATTTGTAAAACGGGCAACCTACGAAATGTTTCGATTTGTTTCAGGAGACGCAATTAGGAGGCTTGAAACCTGATGAGGTCACAGTCTCAATTGAAGCAATTAAGGTTTTTAGCATGATTAAAAACAAGGATAAGGTTTCTTAGACAACAATGATTGTTGGTTATGCACAGAATGGAAAGGAAGAAGATGCTTTGAATTTGTTTTGCAAGACATTATTAGAAGGTGTCAACGCGGATCAATTTTATGATCTCTAGTGTGGTTAGTTCCTATGCAAAATAAGCCTTCTTAAGTCATGGTCAGGATGTTCATTGGAAAGCCAGCCTTTTGGGAGTTGATGATGATTTGCTTGTGTCTAGTGCTCTTGTTGATATGTATAGCAAATGTGGAATCACCAAGGATGCCTGGGTTGTTTTTGATAGGATGCCATCCAGGAATGTAGTTTCTTGGACTTGGAATACCGTGATTAGGGGTTATGTGCAGAATGGACAGGATTTAGAGGCCCTGGCCCATTATGAAAGAATATTGCAAGAAAATTTGAAACCTGATAGTATTACCTTTGTGGCTGTTCTACCTGCTAGTGACAACGCCGGTTTAATTGAAGGACACACATTTGGTTCTATCAGCTAACGGCATGCATTAATACCCACTTTGGATTGAGACTGATAATGAAGTTCACAAGTTTGTAGCAGAAGAGCCTAAAACAAAAATGATATACGAAGAAAAGAGTTGTCTTGAAATTGCAAGAAGCTGGCTTTATACCGGATACAAAGTTGGTTCTTCGTAATGTTGGAGGAAAAGTTTACATCAATTTGTTACCATAGCGAGAAACTTGTTCTTGTATTTAGATTGAGGAAAAGCCCCATGCAACAACACCAATTAAGATTATGAAGAACATTCATGTTTGTGATGATTGCCATGTGTTCATGAAGTTCGTGTCTAAAATTATGGGGAGGCTGATCATCTTGAGAGATTCAAACAGATTCTATCATTTTGTTGCCCAAAGTTGCTCCCGCAAGGATTATTGGCAATGAGCAGCCCAGGGACATCAGAAAATCAGCTGAGGAAAGGATATGGATATGGCTATGGTCTTGACTTTTGCATTTTCAGGCAACCTGTACTGGAAAGGGAGCATGCTGAGGAAAGGATATGGCTATGGTCTATGAAACTTATAGTAAAGAAAAGCTTCTATGGTTGTTTAAGAGAA